GAGGAGTATTGCCTTAAAATTTAAAGGAAAAAGGGAAACAAAAGTTTATATTCTGCAGCTACAAAAAGAGTATAGACCTTAAACCCTTAGTGTAATTTCTTTATATCTTTAGCAACCACATTTCACTCATCTTTCTCACATTTCACCCATCTTTCCCAAAAAAAAGCCAAGTTTCTTAATATGAACTGAAATTTGCTATTGCATACTCAGGTTTTAGAAATCATTCCAACCAAAGTTAAGATTAGGCTTTTAAGCTCTTATGCCACCCCCATTATCATTGATTCAGCATAATGATAATCTGATTGCAATTCTTCTGATTAATATTTCTATTCACCCATCTCCTAGCAAGGTTAAAGTAGTGACCTTTAAATGCGTGACCATAAGTATGTTTTGCAACAATAGTTCAAGAAGCCAGTTCCCCTTTACCAGTCAAGAGTTCAAAATCTAACAACAATAGGAACCCAATCACAGCTGCCTTCCCATTTCTGAAAACAGAACACACACACAGATATACAAAGTGAAATAACACACAAAGATGCATAATTTCACTCGTACAACCAAACCCAATTCCCTCCACCTCCATTTACACCCCTCAAATTCACTAAAAGCAGAAAATTTAACAACAAAAGGAAATGAAGTGATGGAGAAGAGAGTGATATCGGAGAGGCCAAGCGAGAGAAGAGGATTGTGGGGAGAGAGACCAGTGAAGGACCCAAATTAAAAAAATAAAACTAAGAAAACAACAACAAAAGTGTGCATATGAAATCAGAACCTTGTAATGCAGAGGCTTTCTTCACCTCTAGGAAAACTCCGTAAGCTGAACCCATGGATGGTACAATACCTCATTTCTAATGAATCAAAACGAAAAAGATAGAAAGTGTTCCATGATCAGTACCTGTAGCCCATTAAATCTAAAATTCTTACACTCCTGGTTCATTGGGCACAAATAACTGGAGTTTAATTAATTCCTACCACAATAATAAGTCTATAATCTAGAAAAAAAAAAATAGTTCTTTCTATATATTTATTATTATATCAAAAAATTTGTGCTTAGGAACAGTGGCCAGTTGGATTGGGTTTTAGTATATAATATATATGTCCAACGGTATATCCTATACAGGTTGCTTTGTTCACTATGTGCATGCCTCTTGCTCTTCTGCATATATACCCTTCGATAAATTTAAACTAATCTTCCATAGCAGGTTCCGAACCGAATCAAGGGAGCCTAAAGACAAACAATTTAGGTGCGCATACAACTTGTTTTGTCATGTATGTGTGTAGGATAAGCTTATCCTAGCTATATCCCAAGGCCATATGTATTATTTTAAACCACATCAGGACCTGGTAAAAGGAAGGTAATAGAATAAAATTTACAAACGCAAGTAGCATTGGAGAATTCTGTATCTGGGAAAATTACAGTCACATATGGATAAAGTACCAATGCTGTGGACATAGACAAGATATAAAGCTCCCAAATCTTAGGGATTCCTTGAAAGTGATGGCAATAATGGAAGCTCCCTGGTCAGTGATTGCTCTATGTATGCATTGCCCTATGCCTGCTGGAAGTAAGACAATTTTATTTCATAAGTCCTTACATTTTGCTCATTTGAAATACTTCACAACATAGTAATCGCCATCAACGCAACAAGGAAGCTTCAACATACACATCACAGACATATATAAATCCCCAGCGGATGAGATGGTCATTTAACTTAGTTGCAAAAGCTTCTCTTACATTAGAAAGGTAGATAATGGCATCTGGTCTCTATGTTCAAGCTGAATTCTATGGGGACAATACATCTGATGAGGTGATTGGTCTTGGTCTCAATCTGTCATCCATGGCATGCCTTCCCTACCCTTCTTCTCTTTCCACTTTGGAGGAAAATCCTGCTGCCTGGGTGATCCCATTCATAGATGAAACAACAAGTCATAAGAGGCTAAAGCAGCAACATAGTGCCAGCTATGAATTCAATAATGCAGGTACTAACTATTATAGTCTTTACAGTGGCAGTGGCAGCATGTGTGCTAGGGGATTAGATAGTTTGCCAAGAATCCATTTCCGGGATCACATATCTGCGTACACTCGGAGATACTTGGCAGTAGAGGCCATGGAAGAAGCCACTGCAACCCTGATGAGAGGCAAGGAAGGCGAATCCGAGGAAGAAGGAAGGGAAGATGAGACGAAACTAGTCCAGCAACTCATTGCTTGTGCTGAGGCTGTGGCTTGTCGTGACAAAGCTCATGCTTCAACATTACTTTATGAGCTCAGAGCTAATGCAAAGGTCTTTGGGACATCATTTCAGCGAGTAGCATCCTGCTTTGTCCAAGGTCTCTCTGACCGCCTTGCGCTGGTTCAACCGCTTGGGGCAGTGGGAGTTATAGGCCCCATAACCAAGTCAACTGCTTTTTCGGCAGAAAAGGATGAGGCTTTGCACCTTGTTTATGAGATTTGCCCACAAATCCAATTCGGTCACTTCGTAGCAAATGCATCAATATTGGAAGCCTTTGAGGGAGAAAGCTCTGTTCATGTCATAGACTTGGGCATGACCCTAGGCCTCCCACATGGGTACCAATGGCGCAATTTAATAGACAGTCTAGCCAACCGTGCAGGTCAACCCTTACATCACCTTCGAATCACCGGTGTTGGCAACTCTGCCGAATGCCTTCAAGCAATTGGCAATGATCTCAAGCTGCATGCACAAAGCATGAAACTGAATTTTGAATTTTCAGCAGTGGAGAGCAGCTTCGAGAACCTAAAGCCTCAAGACTTCAATTTAGTTGATGGGGAGGTTTTGGTCATCAACAGCATACTTCAGTTGCATTGTCTGGTGAAAGAGAGCAGAGGTGCATTGAACTCAGTTTTACAAACACTTCATCAGCTATCACCAAAGCTTATGATTTTGGTTGAGCAGGACACAAGCCACAATGGGCCTTTCTTTCTAGGGAGGTTCATGGAGGCATTGCATAATTACTCTGCCATATTTGACTCCCTGGATGCAATGCTGCCCAAGTATGATACAAGGAGAGCTAAAATGGAGCAGTTTTATTTTGGGGAGGAGATTAAGAACATTGTGAGCTGTGAGGGACCAGCCAGGGTTGAGAGGCATGAAAGGGTTGAGCAATGGCGCCGGAGGATGAGACGTGCTGGGTTCCAGCCGGCACCTCTGAAGATGATAGCACAGGCCATGAAATGGCTAGAAATAAATACTTGTGAGGGTTACACGGTTGTAGAAGACAAGGGTTGCTTGGTTCTTGGGTGGAAGTCAAAGCCCATCATTGCAACTTCTTGCTGGAAATAATCTGCGATTTCATAAAACTTAGTCTGACAAAAGAGGAATAACGTTTTTGAAACTGATCATGTTGGTGAACTAAAAAGAACAAACTTGTGTAGTTTGTATCAAGCACTGCTAATCAATCTTAATCGGACAACATAATCTGTTAAACTATGTTTGATAATTTAGCATGATTCGTGTTCGAGTAAACAGTATCTAGTAGACTATATTCTTATATCTTAAGAATCAAAGTGCTGTGAAAATTTTCAGGTTGACGGGCCGAGGGTCCACTTCAACAACACCGATACTGTCCCCACTTAACCACCTGCACAATCCTCAGGTGTGGGGTTTTATCACAAAAGGCCTCGGTATTAGTTAGAGTGGGGAAATTCTATTTAAAGCACTCTTTCTCCTTCCCTCTTTCCGATGTGGGACACAATTGGTTTCAACACTCCCCCGCACGTGAGACCCCATGTTGTGGGTCACACGTGGAGATCCACACATCGGCAACCACGTGGAGCCATGTCGGGACTCACCCATCACGCAGGGCCATATCGGGACCCACCCAATCACGTGGCACCTTTGGGCCTACGTGGAGCCATGTCGGGACTCACCCATCGCGTGGGGCCAAATGGGGACCCACCCAATCACGTGGCAGAACGGGCCCGCGTCTGGCTCTGATACCATGTGAAAATTTTCAGGTCGACGGGCCGAGGGCCCACTCCAACAACACCGATACTGTCCCCACTTAACCACCTGCACAATCCTCAGGTGTGGGGTTTTATCACAAAAGGCCTCGGTCTTAGTTAGAGTGGGGAAATTCTATTTAAAGCACTCTTTCTCCTTCCCTCTTTCCGATGTGGGACACAATTGGTTTCAACACTCCCCCGCACGTGAGACCCCATGTTGTGGGTCACACGTGGAGATCCACACATCGGCAACCACGTGGAGCCATGTAGGGACTCACCCATCACGCGGGGCCATGTCGGGACCCACCCAATCACGTGGCACCTTTGGGCCTACGTGGAGCCATGTCGGGACACACCCATCGCGTGGGGCCAAATGGGGACCCACCCAATCACGTGGCAGAACGGGCCCGCGCCTGGCTCTGATACCATGTGAAAATTTTCAGGTCGACGGGCCGAGGGCCCACTCCAACAACACCGATACTGTCCCCACTTAACCACCTGCACAATCCTCAGGTGTCGGGTTTTATCACAAAAGGCCTCGGTCTTAGTTAGAGTGGGGAAATTCTATTTAAAGCACTCTTTCTCCTTCCCTCTTTCCGATGTGGGACACAATTGGTTTCAACAAGTGCATAGAGAGCTTGAAAAACTCTAAAACTCCAATTCAAAAGCTCCCCTTGGCCCCAAAATTTCACAGCCGTATTGAGGAAACAATATCAAAAAGAACCACAAAGTAGCTTTTGGGGAAATTGGGACTCTCTCAGTCATTTGGTCGAACACCTTGCACACAAAATGACCGTCGTGGCAAAATCGACGGCCAACAACATCAGCAACTTCATTGTGGGCTGCCACGTGTATGGCTGGCAAGACACTCCGTGGACTCACCAAAAAAAAAGACACAAAAAAAACTTGCCTGGCAAAAAAAAGACGTGTGGATAAGACAGCACACATCCTACGGTAAGCTTCCCAAAGGGCTCTCCTTTCTCGCTCACTCACAAAGCACACAGCGAAGAAACGAAGACTGAGCAAAATCGAAGCAAAAATGGAAGCGGGTATGTCTCTAAACGCAGTCGTTCGGCTTCCGCTCTCGAGTTCGAGGACCCATGAAGATGGTTTGGTCAGGCACTCATTGGTCTCCACGACGACGACGACGACCCAGAAGGCAGAGCAAAGGCAGGGCCGCAAACTGGTCGTTCAAGCAAAGAGCAAAAGGGGAATGATGGCTCGCCAATTTCAAGCCAAGAAGCCTCCACCTCCTGCCATGCCCAAGATTGAAGACGACGGCAACCCACGTTTCGTTGTATTCATGAGAATGGCTAATGTTTGTTCTCTCTCCCCCTGTTTTTGCTTTTAATTTCCTAAGTTAATGACTTTCTTTGAGATTTTTGTTTAGCTGGAGAAAATTACAAGTTTTACTTGTTGAATCTTGGACAGGTTTACCTATGGTACCCACTTAGTGTTATATCAGGCGGAACCACGGCTAAAATCATGGTTGCAGCAAAAGATAATTTTCTGGGGAAATATATATATAAAGATACCCTTGCTAGAAATCTTGCTGCAGTTATTTACAGGGTGAGTTTTTGTTTAATTAAGCTTAACTAGATTTCTACATACTTGTTCTTTTTTGTTAAATTTATGATTGATTGTATATAATTTGGTGTGCTTGCTCAATCTCATTATGAACAGCAGTTTGAACAATTACTCAACTGAACTGAGCAATCTGAAGTAGAGTTCATGTAACCAGAGTCAATTTGCCTTTTTTTTTCTTTTTTCTTTTTTTAATGTGTATAACTTGCCGAAATCTTCTAATGGTTTGTGTTATAAAATTTCTGTATGGACATGTTAACTATATTGAGAATCCTTGTGGCAAATATACTCATTGTTGATTAATCATGGCTCAGAGGACATATTCTGCTTTTAGTAGCCAAATGCGATTTTATGATGGTTAAACATTTTTCGCAACCGGCCTCATATTAGCAATTGCATAATTGCTTGTTTTTAATTTAAACAGGACGAGAAGGAAATACAGAAGACAGCATTCAAGCAGTACCGAGTGTTGCGGTCAGCTACTGATTTTAGATATGGCTACAAAATTGTGGTAATCCTCTTATAACCTCTACACTAAATAAAAGTTCATTCGTAGACGACTATTGTCCTTTTCTCACCATTAAAATGTATGGCAGAAGCTCAATTCTCTTATTTCAGTGTTTGAATCTTTTCTGTGCTATACGTGTAGGAAAATGGTAACATGAGAGCAGCACTTTCTACCTCGGATGTAATTGAGGTAATTATTTGTCTTTTTCATTATGCTTGCCTACACCGTTGTCTTTGTGATGAGATTATAATGCATTAAACATTCAGCTGATCACAAGCTTCAGCCCTTGAGCTGCAACTCTTCAATTCGTTTATTCTAAATTAGAAGCTATTTATGCTGGTAGCTACAGAGTTACAGTTGAATTAAAATATTCAGTTCTGAACAGATTGGTCTAAAATTGTGATGGTTCTGAACCCAATTTCAGCTTCCAACAAAAGACAAGCTCAAAACCACTTTTGACAAAGTGAAAGATTTTTTTGGGGATGCAAAGGAATCGTTCGGCAAGCTGACAACACTGAACTTATCCGAGTCTCAGGAATCAGAAGAAAAATCTGCAGAACAGGAAAAGTGAGTTATATGCACACAATACACTTGATAAGTTTTGTTTTCTCAACCGTAGTTGTCGAGGCTTTCTTGTTGGCTTCTCATTTTTCTGTTGTCAGGCAACACTCAAACCTAAAACCTCCCTATGTAAATGATCTTCCATTACTTTACATGCCTAAAATGATTGTTGGTTCGTTTAACAGGGTAAAAGGCTAAAGGTGGCAGATAGGTTCTGTGAGATAGTGAAGCTTATTCAGCTGCGTGCACATTTCACGAAAGGTCGCTTAGGATGATTGTACACACGGTTTTGTTTATAGATCTCTCTGTCAATTAAACATGATTTTATGTTTGCCAATTACATCTGATACTAATTTAGCCTGTTCCACACTTGTATTTCTGAAAATCTCTTGAAACTGCTGAATTAAGTGCACCATGGAGCAAACATGCCCTATTAAGACATTATAGATGTAAGGGTGGTTAAGTGGGAGGTGAAAACAAGACATAAATAAGTATAGTTTTAAAAGCAACTTGACAAACTCACTACTTGTAGGTTCTTTGGAAATGTGCATGGATAGATGGCATGAAATAAAACCCTATGTTTTCCTTAAGATTATAATCAGCATCGTATATTATAACATGGAATACATTAATGCCGGTTACCAACAAAATACATAGAATAGAAGTTAATACCAACGACACACTCTTACATAGAATACATATATTATATTTTCCTCTTACAAAACGATGATGACATGTTGGAGGAAACCAGACGCAGAGAGAGATGATGTTCCATTAGAGGAAGCTTGAGACGGAAAGGAATCTTATTTTCTTGCTGTGTTTTAAAGGTGGTGTAGATCAATTCCCTTGAATTGGTGATCGATGTTGGCTGGGTGTTGGAACAAGAACAAGAGCAGACTTCTTTCTTGTGGCAAGCCCAAAAATCTCGTCGAGGTCCACATCATCTGGTCCAACTCCTTGAGGCAATGCCCAATCAAAATGACACAAGAGCCTTGCCAATGCAATCTCCACCGTTGCCAACCCAAAGCCATATCCTGGGCAGCCTCTTCTTCCTCCACCAAATGGTAGAAACCGAAAATCTTGATCAACAACATTAACATTAACGTTGCCTGCATCTTGAAACCTCTCAGGCCTAAACTCCAAGGGATTGTCCCACGACTGTGGGTCTCTTGCTATGGCATAGGCGTTGATTAGAACCCTAGTTTTTTCGGGTATTTCGTAGCCATCCAGAGTGCACTTTTCCATTGATTCTCGAGGGACAAGAAGAGGGACTGGCGGATGCAATCGCATTGTCTCTTTTATGACTGCTTTCAAGTAGTCAAAGTGTTGAAGGTGGCTCTCGTCTACTTTTCCAGTGCCGGATGCAAACTTTCGAACTTGTTCTTGTGCTTTCTTCATCACATTTGGGTGTCTCACCAACTCTGTCATTGCCCATTCTAGGGTGGCTGATGTCGTATCGGTTCCGGCCACAAACATATCCTATTAATATTATATAGTAAATTGAGCTTAGACCCATAAAATTCATTTTAAATCACCTACAACCCTTCTCTTTATTTTTCTAATTAAAATACCCAATTTTTTCAAATAATACCTGATGATTAGAATCCAACTAAGCAAGTTACCTAATATAACTTCAAATCTGATTTATTGTATTTTTTGGATTCCAAAACTATCCATATTTATAAGTTAATGTGGTATGAGGGATGTAACTAATGACACACGTTGAATTTGGAAAGATCTCCAAATGATTGTAATGGATGTAGGAATTAATTTAGAAACTTATTTGAAATTAAATAATTAAATATTAAATTCAACATTAACATATTAGTAATCTATAGGTGATTAACGTTTTGGTTTATTTAATAAAAAAATTATGTTGTTTTCCTTTCATGAATTTTACAGACTAGTAATCTATTTTATTATAGTTTTATGAATAATAGTTTACATTCTAATTATGTTGAAAAATAATTTGATAATCTATTTATTGTTTTTTTTAAAACATTTTTTTTTAAATGAACCTATTTTTTCTCTAAATAATGTACCTATTTTTTTTTCTCTAAATAAAGCACATATTACTTGTTTTATGAAAAATAATCTGATCATCTTTTTATTGTTTGTTTCATGAAAACAATTTTTTTTAAAAGGAATCTAATTTTTCCCTCCAAATAATGTACCTATTTTTTTTTCTCTAATAATGTACCTAGTAAAACAATTTACCTAGTATAATGAACCTATTTTTTCGCTAAATTTTGTATCTATTTTTTTTTCTCTAAATAATGTACCTATTACTTGTTTTATGAAAAATAACTTAATAATCTATTTATTTTTTGTTTGATGAATTTTTTTTTCTCTAAATAATGTACCTAATTTTTTCTCTAATAATGTATACCTAGTATAATGGGGTGATTGATATTGCCAAACCCAAAAGAAATAGGGTGATTGATATGCCATTAATAGGGAGTTTTAATTACAATTATGGCAGTTAATGAAATGCTTGGAATAAATTATAAATAAAATATGAAGTTTGATGGCAACGATGTAAAAACGTAAGAATACTATGACCTCTTATATTCTACTGATCATTTAAGTTTGTAATTAGGTTTTAAACATAAATTTATAGAATGATAGGTATTTGTCTAGAAAATAGAAATTATAGGAACCTATATATCAAGAAAACATGTCCACTGCTGATCTAAGCAATTGGCTCCATATTCATTTTAAGATCAAGATAGACACAAGATAGACACAACTAGTAGTGACATGACATCACCGACAAACAGAAATGCAACACAAAACGGTGTCGTTGGACCATAATACAGAGAGGGGGTCAATATTTACCAGTACAAGAGCCTTGAGATTGTCATCAGTAATTGGCACCTCCAAGTCATCTCTTTGTCGTACTCGAAGCAGAACATCCACAAAATCTTCTCTGCTACCACCACCGCTACCACCTTCGCACGACGTCGTTTTGTTCAAATGCTCTTGTATTATTTCATCACACACTTGTCTCAAACCCTCCAAGTTCCTCTTCAGCCTCCTCCTAAACCCACTCACCCAGTTGACCCACTCCCACTCGGGGAAGAAATCCCCTACGCACCACCCAGCAAGCAAAGCCTGCGTCTCACTCAAAAGCTCCACCAAACGATCTTCTGACTTTGACTTTGACTTTGTCTCCTCCTCCTCCACTATAAACCTCTTCCCCAACGCTACTCTACACAGCACATTGTTTGCCAACGCAAACAATAACTTGCTCATGTCCACTTCAGACCCGGACAGGCTGACCACGTGGCTCAGCAACCGGTTCACCTCCTCGTCTCGGACGAGGTGGAACGAAGTGACCCGTTTGGAAGTCAGCAACTCGGTGACACATATTTTTCTAGCTTGGCGCCAGTAGGGGCCGTACGGGGAGAAGGTGACGTCGGAGCAGCCGAAGGAGAGCCACTGAGCCGCCACGAGCTGCGGTCGGCTCGCGAATACGTGATCGTGGGTTTTGAGGACGAGCTTGGCCAGGTCAGCAGAGGAGATGACCAGCGTGGGGACTCGGCCGAGTTGGAGGTGGATGATGGGGCCCAGTTTCTGGGCCAGGTGGGCGAGGGATTGGTAAGGTGGCGCCTCTGTGAGGAGGAGGTGGTGAAGGTGGCCTATAATAGGAAGGCTTGTCGGTGACGGTGGAGTACGGACGGTGGCGGACGGTGGCTGTGACGGTGACGTTATACTTTTCCATTTCTGCAACTGCAAGCGAAGAAGGAAGAATACGAAGGGTATGAAAAGTAGAAGCGAGAGAATGAGGGAGTTCATTTTCTTCTTTTGCTTCCAAGTTGAATCAATGATGTACTAAAAAGATTGGGGCTTTATGTAGAAAAATATTTTGGGCTGCCAAAGACAAGAACAAAAGAAAGTTTCATGAGCCCAATATCCCAAGCCCATTAGATTATAATATGGGCCCACAATTATAAGGTCCAATTGTGACAAGTCAAGGTATGTTTCTTGAATTTTCCTTATCCGGGGAAAATTTTCTCGATTTCTCCAGAACTGTCCGACCGAATGTGTCTTCACCCTTCTATTCGTCTTCCAGAAGTGTCCATTATCTCCTTCAAATAGTGGAAAATCCAGTCTCCCTACTCAATCAAATCAAGAACTCCCTCACTTTCTGTTTACATTTTCTTGCCTGCCGAACACAACCCAACCACTCCAATAATTTTCCAACTGATCAAGGCTCACAACTTCACTTCACTTGACCAATAAACACAATCCCCAACTCTTGAGAGAGACACAAAAAAAATGTCACAGGCCGTATCGAATTTGAGCATTTTTCTTCCAATGTCATCTGGGAGGAGGACCAAAAATTGCCCATCCCCTGTTTTCTCAAAACCAGTTAAGAACAGCCTCAAGGCCATGGCAAGAGATGCAAGGGACAACCTTGACCACTTGCAGAGGGCCACCACCAAGCACCAACAACAACAACCACCCCAGCCCAAAAAGAGAGTCGCCCCGGCACCACCTGTAGGTAAATTAATCACCCACTTATCCAAATTTGAATATCCCACGTTAAAGTTAGAAACTTTAATTTGATAAATAAACAAAAACCTTTGAATTTTTGCAGGGTTGTGGGACCGGTTTCCGACGGCAAGGACAGTGCAGCAGATGATGGAGACCATGGAGAGGATGATGGACGACCCGTTGGCCTACTCGGGCGGGTCGGGTTGGGCATCCCCATTGCCGACGGAGACAGGCGGCTACAGCAGGGGAAGGACCCCATGGGAGATCAAAGAAGGTGAGGCTGATTACAAGATGAGATTTGACATGCCTGGGATGACCAAAGAGGACGTCAAGGTGTGGATTGAGGAGAAAATGCTGGTTGTGAAGGCAGAGAAGGTGACCAAGAAGAAGGAAAATGGGGTGCCAGAAGAAGAAGATAATGGCGATGATGAGTGGTCTGCTAAGAGCTATGGGAGGTACAGCAGTAGAATTGCTTTGCCTGAGAATATTCAGTTTGAGAAGATTAAGGCTGAGGTTAAAGATGGGGTCTTGTATATTACTATTCCTAAGGCTACCAGTAGTTCTAAGATTTTGGACATTCATGTAGGGTGATAGCTAGATTTAGTGATGGAGAGCAGAGGATTTTGGCTTCTTTCTCCTTTTCTTTGTTCAATTTGAATTTTGGTTTCTGAGTATTAATGTCATTACCTATAGTGGGAATTAACTGACTATTAAGAAGACCTCAAAACAAATTTCATAAAATTTCCACCAAAAAAAGAAGCCCTACACTTATTTAATTGATAACAAAACAATTTCTTTCATTTTAATCGCATATAAATTATTGAGATGGGCGTCTAGCAAAATGTAATTTTAAAAGTAAAATAAAAAACTTTGTAAGTTGGGCGATTAGATAGATATCTAAAAAATACAATTATAAAAATAAGTACTAACTTTATAAGTTGTGTTCATGAATCAATTTTATTCCTCTTTTTTATATCCCTCTAAACAAAATTTATCAAATAAAATTATTCATATTTTTCGGATATTGTTACTTTTGGTCTTCAAAATAGTGAATATGTTTTTTTTTTTCCTATTGTGCGACTTACAAAGTTTTTTTATTTATTAATTATTTTTGCAATTGTATTTCTTTAGATATCTGTTTTAACAGTTTTATATTTTAATTGTACGTGTTTTTAATGAGTTTCTTTTAAAAAAAATTCTTTATTGCCCATATTTTTTTAGATGTTTGTCTCAACGGTTTACGCGCGACAAAAGAAAAAACTAAATTAATAAGACAGGCATCTAGAAAAATACAATTACGAAAAAAAAAGAAAAAAGAAAAAGTGTTTTAAGTCGCGCATGATTAAAAGTTAGTAAGCCGCAAGTGAAAAAGTAAAGAAAAAAATTGGTAAGTCTCACGCTATTAAAAAAGGGCTCTTACATTGCGCGTATGTGCATAAGAAGAGACTAATTTAGTTAGAATTACTGAAGTATATACTTGACGCGTTGTTTCAATCTTCGTACTCTTTACAAAGTTTTCTTTTTTCTTTGACACATGTTTAAAAACTTTTTCTTTTATTCCATGTATTAAATGTTGGCACTGGCGGATTCACAGATGCAGCTGCCTCTCCCCTCGCCGGAAACTTCCTTGGGGATACTAGAATTTGCCCCTTTGCTAGTGCCCACCAATTGTTCGACTAAATGCCTCAAAGACGTTGTATTGTTTTCTGCATTGTGAGACCCTGAATATTTACCTTATATTGTTGAGCTTGATCTCACGAGCATGTAGGAGAAAACGGCTCATCAATCGGAGCTCCACAACCAAAGTTATGAATTTTTGAAGTTTTTCTACAATATTTGAAGTTAAGTTGCAGAGGCACAGTTCAAGGAAGAAGAAGACTCTGCATCAGACATCAGCGCTTCTGATTTTGATTCTTTTTTAAATTGTCCAATAGCAAGCCGACACATGTCTATTTCTAATTGGTCTAAATTAAAAAATTCATTAAAAACTCATATGTGTGCCAAAAAATTCATCAAAAATTACCTCAAACTTTTAATCATGTGCACTTTTGTTTCATGACCTCCAATTTACATGTGCTTTTGGTTAGATTATTTGGTATTGACTTTTGTTAGATTAAATATGTAATTGACATGGATTTTGTTCATATTTTATATGAATTTTGGTAAACTAATTGTGTCAATGACAAAGATTTTGTTCATATTAATTGATATCCATATAGACTATAATCAATTAGTTGTAGACGTAAAACTCTTATTTGTTTTAATTATGAATGACATTAGTATTGGTTAAATTCTAAGGGCATTTGGTTGTATAATTTTTATTTGGATTTTTAGCCTTATTTTTTTTAACACATTACACGAATGTTAAGACTTGAATCCAGGGCCTTACTTGAGTCATTTGTAAATTTTTAGCCTTTTAAATATTGCACCTCCCTTGAAAAATTCCTGGATCCGTTGCTGAATGTTGGTATTGTGTTTTTGCTTTTGGTTTAGGTTAATAGACAATGAATTTTGCCATTATTTATTCTCTATTATGTTTTAATTATGTAATTCAGTCTTCACGTTATCTTTGCATTGCTCATGATGAATGGCGCAAAATAAGACATCAAATTATATATTGCATAATATTCTTTTTTGTGGATGAAATATTTCACATTACAAAAAAAAAAAAAAAAAAAAAAAAAAAAAAAGGAAAGGTTGTTTAACATTAGTTGGTGACATTTGGTGGTGGGGTGACTAAATGCATCAAATATCACCAAATAATGGTGATTGTTGCCACTTTTTTTTCTACTTTTTTTTGCAGTGAAAATTTAATAAAATGTTATCCTTTACAGTCATGAAGTGTTCAAATATGAACAATGGGTTCACACCAAAGTACACTGACTGTTGAAAAACAATGACAACTAAGTCATGTCAATATCATCATGGGATTGCTATACTTTTGCTGCTTGCAGTTGTTTGCATTAGTATTGGAAATTTCCTGCATTACAAATTTACATTAATTGCATCAGTCTTATAAGCCGATAACATATTGTAATGCAACATTACTCGGTAAATTGGTACAAACAGCACAATGCCATTCCCTTATATAGTTAGCATAAGCAAGCAAGAGGAAAAAAAATTGAAGAAAGAGGCCATCGAGCAACCTGCTCGCAGTGGCGGATCCACATTGGGGCAAAGGGGGTCAATTGACCCCTGCAAACCAGAAATCATGGATTGGGGAAAAGAAATGTGACCCCTGCAATTGCTGCTTCTTTTTCTTTAAAACGGTAGGCCTTGCTTGATTTGCATACTGCGGCTACCTCGTTGCAGAAGAGCTGTGTTAGGTATACCCATAAAAAACATATGAATACTACGAATTGAGGAATAGAAACTGTTGGCGAGTCCTTACTTAGTTAGGATTTTGGTTCCTTATTATGTTAGAATTTTGGTTACTTACCCATTTATCTAGTCCTATTATAATTGAGATTTATTTCCTATTGTAATTTAGATATATTTCTTATTTTATTTAGAGTTAACACATCTTTGTACTTGTATAAATACCTCCATATTGGAGAAGAATAATAATATGAGAATATGAGCATATCTAAATATTTTCCCCTACTTTGTTTGATCAGTATCAGAGCCAGGTTCCTAACCTGTGATAACCTCTGCCAAATTGAGAGTCGTTGGCACTACTCATTCCTAACCCATCGTGGGTCTTCATCTTGTATAGTCATCTTCTTTTGTTCGATCCTCTCATATGTATAGTCACCATCTTTTGTTCATCCGCTCATATGTGTTTTCACCGCACCTAGCCTTCACATGCTTCTTTGCTACTATTCCAAAAATTTTATTTTTCATCTTTGTATGCCAGATGGTCTTTCTTGATGTCTCAGCTTCTCTATCTTTGAAACTTTATAACAAGTCTCTTTACTCCGTGAGCCTCGTCACCTCTCACCGAGCCGTTGCTTTCCTCCGCGAGCCTCGTCACTGCTCGCTTGGCCTTTCCTTTGACTGTTTTGCCGGTCTTTGTCTTCTTCAGCTGCTCTCTTGAGTTGCCTTCAGCTTCTCAGTTTTGAGCACCCTTTCTCTATTTCTCTCTTTGCTCTATGTAGCTCTCTTTTATTTATGTTTATCTCTTTTGTTTGTCTATGCCCAATGGCGGGTGTTTATTGTGCTCTTTCCCCATGCCATCACTCCATCTCTGTCACTCTAGCCTTTCCCGTTGGGTGCTTATTATTTATTTTTCTATCTCCTTCCCTTTTACCCTTATGCTTATTTCTTTCTACCTTTGGCCTCTTTTCGATATTCATCCCTTTCTTTGTCTGTCTATTTCCTCACAGACACCTTCCTTTGTCATTATTTTCCTTCAATCACAGCATTATTCTCTCCTTTTTTTTCGGTTCTAGCACCTCACTTTATTCCACTAGTTTCTTTTTAAAAATTGTCACATGCAATTTCCCATGCTTTACTTTTTAATATCTTTAGTTTCTTCCTCTTTGATCTACCGATGTGGTTTCCCCTGCTATGCAGCCGAACTCTTTTCATGTCCTCTCTATTTCTCATATTTCTTTTACCAACCTTTTGCATTTTGTTGTTCTCTCACTGCATTATCTCTCACTTTCACATCTCCCTTATATAATATTGTTTCCCTTTGATGGGCACTCTATCTATTCCTATTCCACACATGAAGGGTTTCCTTTTTTCGTTGTCCTTTGCTCTAATTCCCGTTTGAGCACCTTATCTTTGTCTTTATCTCTGTTCATGATTTGTTGGGTTTCGTCCCTTACTATTCTCCTTTTCTGAAAATTTTTCTTCATGGGACAGTCGTATGCTACCACCTTCCCCTCTTGCATTTGTTTTTGCCACGAGACTGGCATGTTTGAGTCTCTTTACTATTATTTCAATTTCTCTTCTTCCAAATCTCGACCCTTTACCAGTGTCGGATTTGATGGGGAGATAGATGCAACTTTATTTGGGTGCTGCAACTTTATTTTTCGGTGTTGCTTTCTCCAAATCTCGACTCTCATACATTGTCAGATTTGAGGGGGAGTGACACCGTTGCTCATCTATTCCACTGCAATTTAGCTACTTATCTGCCATGGCTAATTCTTCTACATTTGAGCGTTAGTCAGCTTCTATTTCTTAAGTGCCACTTTTTTTATGGTTCCAACGACCCCTTCTTTTCAGGGAGAGAGGAGGAGTGAAGAGAAGTTGTCTTTGCAATAATGGAAGTATTTGTCATTGTTATTTATGCTGACTACTATGTCCTTTGTTGGTGCCAGTACTGTTGCTCATACCTGTTAGGTCTCTTGCTGGGGAAAATGTTATTGCTCCTGCCTTGTTGCTCTTGCTGGTGCCAGTGCCTTATATTGTTGTTGTTGGTACCAGTATTGTTGCTCCTGCCTATTATGGTGCCAATATTGTTGCTCATGCCTTTGCTATTGACTTTCTTTGCCTTACCTTACCTTATTTTTTCGAGGTTTGGCTTTACCTTGCCTTACCTTATTTTTTAGGGTTTGGTTTTTGCCTTATCTACTACCGTGCTCACATGGTTTCTGTGTTCTGCCTTACATATTGCCGTGCTCACTGGGTTTCTGTGTTATGCATTATCTACTGCCATGCTCACAGGGTTTCTGTGTTCTGCCTTATCTATTGCCGTGCTCACAGGGTTTCTGTGTTCTGCTATGTGCCCTATTTTTTAGGGTTTGCTCTTGTGTTCCCGCTGCGAATTTTGCTTTAGTCTGTCACTTGTTTCACTCGTGGTTGACGAAAAGACCTTCTCTACAATTGGTGCTTCTCAAGTATGGTGTTCTATGGCTTGCTTGTCAAGTTGGGCATGTGAAATATCTTTGCCCCAACTTGAGGAGGAGTGTTGGCGAGTCCTTATTTAGTTAGGATTTTGGTTCCTTACTATGTTAGGATCATTTTGGTTACTTACCCATTTATCTAGTCGTATTATAATTGAGATTTATTTCCTATTGTAATTTAGATATATTTCTTATTTTATTTAAGGTTAACACATCTTTGTACTTGTATAAATACCTCCATATTGGAGAAGAATAATAATATGAGAATATGAGCATATCTGAATATTTTCCCCTACTTTGTTTGACTGAAACATCTTTAAGAAGTGAGAGATGCACCTACTTTATAGTTGTCAATATTTGATGGCAATCTTTTAAAAATTATTGCATGTTCTCTTCTTCCGTACAAAGTGTAAGTTTCATAAACACAACAAATCAAAAACCAAAAGCAAACCAAAATGTATATAATTTACACCTTAGTCTTTCGATTGTTTTGGTCAATGGATATGTGCTCAATTGCCTTTTGGAGGTTCTTGATGAATTCTTCAGCTACAAACCACTATCACTTGCTGCAAAACCATAAAAAGGAAATCATTATATGCAAGAGAAAACAAAGAGAAATGAAATCAAATGAATGAAGGGTTAATCGTTTTATTAGTTCCTGAATTTAGACCCGATTTGTATTTGAGTCCCTCAATTTCCAAAATGGTTTCCGTGACTTCAGTTTCCTTAGAACAAATGGCCCTGCCGTTGATTTTGTTAACTTTTCAATTAAATGTAGGGGCAAAATGGTATTTTTGTATCAAAATTGATTAAAATATGAATAAAAAATTAAACAAACAAAAAAATTAAAATTAAACTCTCCCCCCCCCCTATCCCGATTTCTACTCCCCCCAAACTTGATTTTTTTTTTTTTTTTTTTTTTTTTTTTTTTTTTTTTTTATTTTTTTTTTTATTTTATAGTTATATGATTTTTTATTCATTTTTTTTTGTTTTAATATATAATATATCATTTTGCCCTTGCATTTAATAGAAAAAGTTAACAAAATTGACGGCATGAGCATTTGTCCTAACGAAAGTGAAGTTAAAGGACTACGGGAACCATTTTGGAATTGAGGGACTCAAATGCAAATCGAGTCTAAATTTAGGAACTAATAAAACGATTAACCCAATGAATGAAAGCCATATCATAATTCTATCCATAGTATTTGCTCTAACTATCTACTTCCTGCATGTATGTGAGATAGGTTTTTAAACTATCGAACCGATGTCATGGGTCGGTCTTCTTAATACCACACCCAATAACATGTTGTCTAAAACTCAAACAAATTAATATAACACTCGAAAATAAAAAATACCACTCAACATTCCAAAATTCATCTATGAATAGCACATACTTGAATGAAGTAAGAGTAATTTCTACGAATTTATAGGGTTTTCTTTTTCCCAACTTCTTGACACCAAATCAAAACCCCCTGCTCAACATGGGCACACACAAAAATAGCGCATTAACTGATAGCATAAATCACTACTTCTGAATCATATTTGTATTTTTTTCATTGTTCGCATACTGAATGCTTATCCTTACAAATTTATTGTACGACAACTTCAAGCAATATCAAGGACCAAGGAAAGAAATTCAAGAATGAGGTAGAGTGTCGTTCAACTACCAATTTCAGGGGGTAAGTATTGAGTTGTTCAGTTAGTGTATTCAGGTACCACCCTCTCTTTTTTACTTCGGGATGCTGATTATGTTTGACACTAGGTGTTTGTGAGAATACAATTTTAGGTCGGTAATTTCCACTTTTTATTTCTGTCTTTCTCTCCACAAAGTCAAAGAAGAGGGCTTTGGCATTTAATTTTTAAGCTTCCTCTCCACAAAACACCCTTTCGTAATTCCCCTTATTACTTTTGTGGTGTTTCTAACTGGAATGCAGTGTTGGTTTTCATTTATGTTGAAATCCCTAATAGCAATTAACTACTATGAATTTTTCTCTTTGTTTATATATTGGTTTTTGATGATATTTAGGGGTGGTTTGCTTATTTTTTATGTTCATATTACTGTAGTTGTACTTTCTGCAACGTTAGCCAATAGATAGGTGCAATGCATATCAATAAATTTGTTTTTCTACATATTGTTGGTTCAAAATGCAGAATTTTGGTTTTTGCATATTATTTGGTTTTTACCTTTCTATGACATTTGGGTGTTTAGTTGCTAAGAACTATTAGTTTACGTGCTTCACACACTTTTGTTGATTTATTCTCCTTCAATATATAAGCTCATAGTTAAACTGTTGTGTGAAATATTGTTAATTGAGTAGTGAGTCTTCTGGCCTTTATCTCTTGACATTTCTGTTCAGTCTCTTTTTATGAAAACTTTTTTATTTTCTTCTAAAGTGAATTTGATGCTATTCAGTGGAACATTTCTTATGATTTTTTTATTTGAGTATGTGTATATATTGCAAAAGAGAATGCCTGGAGTAAGTGATTTCTCTTAGCATATTTTTTGTACAAACCTATTTTTCATAGTTAGTCTAGTTTATCTTGGTTACCAAAACTGCTATTGGATACTCACTTTAAATGTGGCATGCTTCTAGGGGTGAACATTGGTCGGGTTGGGTATAGGCCCAAACCATTTACCAAACTGAGGCAAGCCCAAATGGTAAACCACACACCTCTTTGTTAGGCCCAATTTCGAGTGAATTCGAAACTTGAATTAGGCGGGTCGGGTTAGATCGGTTCAGGTTTCTATCAAGGCCCAAAAAGAGCAAAAACTAATGGTTTTTTATTTTATTTTTCAATTTCTCCAGGCCCATTCTTTTTTTTGGTCAGATTTTTAGGCCCATTAAAGTTTAGGATTCTTGTAGGTTTTTCCATTTATGTACTTCTGCATATTTTAGCATATATCATTCAAATACAAATAAAAACCTGAAAATCATCATCCATCACACGTCCAAATTTATAGAAATTATTATTACAAACCAAGCAGATTGTGAGAGTAATCTCAATCACAATATGCATATTTGCAAAGTTAAAAACCTAATAAAACCATCATCCATCACACATGTCCAAATTCACAAAAATCATTATTACAGACCATAGCAGATTGTGAGAGTAATCTCAATCACAATCTGCATATTTGCAAAGTTAAAAACCTAAAAAAATCATCATCCATCACACATGTCCAAATTCACAGAAATCATTATTACAGACTATAGCAGATTGTGAGAGTAATCTCAATCACAATTTGCATATTTGCAAAGTTAAAAACCTAAGAAAATCCAAATCAAAACAAGTAAATTTCCATTACATATAGAAATCAAATTCCATGAGTTTCATACTCCTCAAATCAAATTAGCACCTCTACATAAAGAAAAAAAAAGGTTAATAAATATATGAATTAATAAGACATAAAGAAACTACAAATTTTGATTAATATAGAAAAGAAAGAAAACATTTTTCCACTTTTTCCAAAGTTTGGTAGAAATCTAACTCATCCAATGTGGGTTCTTTATAGTAGTTAAACTCCTCTGCCCTTAACTAATCACTACAACAAATCAATGCCTCCATGGTTTTTGGAGTTAACGAACTCCTAAAGGGATTTACAACTCTCTTTCCTGTGCTAAAAGAACATTCAGAAGCCACAGTTGATCCTTGGACAGCAAATACATCTTTTGCAACATTGGTAAGTATTGAAAATTTTGTAGCATTCTCCTTCCACCAATCAAGCAATTTGAACTCATCATTGGTAAGATTCACGGGAGGTTCCAATAAGTATTTATCAATCTCATTTCTTATCTCAACAACATCCTTATCTTTCCTTGACTTCAAGAACTTTTGTAACCTTGATGGTTTAGTAACATCATTGTTCAAAACCAATGATCCTTCACCCTCTACATTACCATGAAATACTTAGGCAGTAGCTGGATTTTGCTTTCTGTAATAATCATACAAATTATGTAAAAGTATCTTGATCTCCAATGACATGTCATTAACCTCATTTTCATCGGAAACCAAGTCACCCAAGCAAAATGTGAGATATTTCATATTGTATCAAGGATCTAGAATAACCGCCACAAAGAATAACTTGCTGATGTTATTAACATTCCCCCAATATTTATCAAACTTTCTCATCATCATTGTTGCTATTTTGCACATAACAACATCATCAACATTCATTATTGCGTCTATCTCCTCCAAAAAAGAACATATCTCATGGAATGGGGCATTAGAAGACACGGTTTTAGAGGCACTAAACCTCAAAGTAGCATCATAAAACTTCTTAAAAAATTTGACAAATACCTTTGTATTATCCCAATCCAACAATGTTGGAGGCCCCACTCTTTTCTTCTTTTCCTTACCATAAACTTCATACTCTTCAAAGTACCGCAAAAAGTTTGTGTCATCCTCCTCCATCATCTCAAACCTTTTTGGAGCTTCAAAGCACTCTCAAACATCATGTAAGTTGAATTCCATCTTGTGCACACATTTAAAGGAATAATAGTTTTTGTGTCAACCTTCTCCATCACCAAACAAGTCCTAAACTACTCTAACCGTTGAGATGATCCCCTAAGTACTTAGCACAATTGTGAATATTCTCAATAGATTGATGAATTTCTTTCATTCCATCGGTTACAATCAAGTTAGTAATATGGGCACAGCACCTCACATGCATCAAACTATAATCACATATGAGTGAATTCCACTTTTCTAACCTCTTCTTCATGTAGCTAATACATCCATCATTGGAGGAAGCATTATCAACTGATATGGTGAAGACTTTGTCTATCCCCCATCCATTCAAACATGTCTCTACTAGCCTACCAATTGTATCCCCCTTATGATTAGGAATGACACAAAAGTTAAGGATTCTCTTATTCAACACCCAATCATCATCAATGAAGTGGGCCGTGAGAACCATGTAATTGATATTTTGAATGGAAGTCCAAGTGTCGATGGTAAGGGACACCGTTTGTGCATTATGTATTAAGACACTCTTGATTTTAGCTTTCTCCTCTTAATAGAGGTCCTACACATCTATAGCAATTGTCGTATGAGATGGAAAATCAAATCTAGATTGTGCCTCCTTCAAAAATTGACGAAACCCAATACCCTCCACATGACTAAATGGAAGCTCATCCCAAATAATCATCTTGACACAAAATATCTTCAGCTCTTGATTTCATTTGCGTCAATTAAACTTTTTGGAACTAGTTTTCAAAAACAAAAGTCTTGGATGAAGTTAATGCAACATATTATTATATAATATTTGTTTTCTTGAAACTAGTTTTTTGAAAGGAAGTATTTATGTTATTTTTCCACATGATCTTTCTAACAAAATATGTGCTCTTTATTTCAATGGTTGTTACAGCCTGTGTTCCTCTTTATTCTTCTTGAGCCATTCACTCTTATAGTATATATAAATTTGATATTAAAGTAATTTGCAGACTAAATTTTAAATTTCCTATTATTATATTATATATTTATATAATTTATACGAATCTTAAGCCACAGTACTACTTATGTATTGAGTTAACTTCCAGTCAATATGTAAACATTGTTATATTGTCTTATACGTATATATTATATATATATATATATATTCACTGTCTTGCCCTAATTATATTTTTTTTTCTTTTCAACAAAATAGTTTTATATTGATTTGTTCTTTCGTAATGGGGCAGGTCGGGTAACCCATTCCCTAACGGTTACTTTCTTTTCTTTGTTTGTTTAATTATATTGGCTAGAGCTATCAAGGTCACCATGGAAACGATGTTTGGGAACAGTGGCGGAGGTAGAGTTTGATATTTGGAGGGGCCACAAGCTTAAAACTATGGGATTTTTTTGTGCAATCTATACTACACTCTTTATACAGTCAAAGAGGTGAGAAGATGTTGGGGGGGCCCAAGCCATCTCAGGCCTATGAATAGCTCCGCCCCTGTTTGGGAAGTGGGAACCAGTTATGGGGTATCAACGAATGATTCAAGGTCGGTAAAACTTTCACATAATATTTCCACTTGAAAAAGTTTATGGGTTATGTTCCTTTAAACATTCCTTAAACCATTGTAATATTGTTGGTGGCCTTTGCGGTTGCGAGCGTACTATTGTTGGCAATGGGAACTCCAATAGATTGAGATTGTAGATGATGGATTACGCACCAAATAAATGACTAATAATCAAGCGATTGCAAATTGGGCGGGGAAACATACCCAATGAAGTTTTTTTATTTTTTTATTTTTATATTCCTTGAGTGCTAAGGACTTCAATATTTTTCTAGTACAATATGTTGGCAAATACATGGAAGGTGAAACTGAGGGAAAGTAAATACAAGGAAAGAAAAAAGTCAGACAAGGCTCGGAGAGACCCTATTGGATTGAAACAACTCCTATCGGACAAACTATAATCTACTTGAGACAGTACAACGAGTGTTCGATGTGGTGATGTCTGCAGTATCTGCAGTATAAGAATGACACTATAGATACGAGTCTGACTTTAACTAGCTGGAAATAGAGACCAACTATAAAATCATACCAAGCAAGGATGACATTGTAGATATGAGTGTTCGATGTGGTGTGTGTTTTTATGCTGCTGTACAGTTTCTCCATTTACAGAGGAAGGAAGCAGCTCCATCTTCATAAAATGATCATGCATTTGTTCTTGTCTCTCATATTCGGGTTTTGGATAGAATTGGTTGTTTCATAGCTATTTTTGTACATTCTTATAGTGCTTATTATTTTTTAATAAAAAATCTTTTCCAAGAAAATAAATAAAAAATAAAAATAAAAACCTAGATCCTGAAATAATTAAGGAACGAGGAGCCAGAAAATAATGGTCATTTGGACTTCTTTTTTTTGGACTTTGGCACAGGCAATGCAGGCATATTGTTGATTTGAGATTGTATTGTCTTTATGTTACACGTAGGCAGGCTGTCCACAGTCCCAACATATAAACCAAACCAACAATGAGCTTAAATTGTCTTCACTTTTTATTTTTATTTATTATTATTTTTGATATTTTATTAAGTATATAATAAAAATTGATGTTGGGTGCTCACATCAAATTATTGAGTAAATATGGTATACAATGTAAGGGTTGAGGCCCAATGAAGCCTGTAAAATATAGTACGGATCAGGCCCACGCTTACATTGGATATCACCAAGGGCCCAGTTTTAGGTTCACCGTGTAGGGGGGTCATTGAAAAAGTAACACTCCATATGGAGGACATTGATATTTTTGCAAAAGTTGAGGGGTCAATATCTGTTTAAGTTGACCGCAGAGAAGAGAGAGGACCCTAGAAAACTTGGCTTCTTTCTCCAACGGTCCTAAACTCATCGCCACTGTGAAAGTTGCTATTTTAGAGTGTCAAAGACAAATGCGAACGCGCGAACTGAGTTTCTGCAACCTCAAGTTCGAAAAGATAGTTCGCGGGTTCTAGCCGCATCTCCATCTCAAGACCAGCCATTTCCGATCGTTGGTTCAATTCAAATTACTCTTCAGGTTAATTTTGTATTCTCACAGTTCAAAGTCACAAAGTTTATTCTCTACGAATTATTTTAATCTTTGGATTTTTATGTTACAATTTATTCGCGATTGTTTGTGGGGATTTATGCATTTAGGGGAGCTTTTAAGTTGGAGCTTCGCATGCCTTATCTGTACTTGTGTTTGAGAGAGCTCGACAGAAAGAGAGGGTGGTCGTAGAGCAGAGAGAGGAATAGGCGAGCGCCATTATGATTATTAGTTGTCAGTGCCGTTTTGCTTTGGTCAATAGTAAAGATGATGCCAAGATAAAGGAAGCGGTACATTACAACAGTAACCTGCTCGTTAACAAGGCAAGCCCTTCGAGTTGTCCCCAAAAGTTGATGGAATTGCACTTGACCCTGAGCCTGAATGGAGCTTCGAAGCTCTACTCTCGGAGATAGATGAACTGGAAAGAAAGATCAACAGCTCTTCTAAGGTTTCAGTGCCTTTTACTAAAGAAAGACCACGGTATGTATGCATTTGTGCCTCTGTGTGTTTGAGATTTTGCCAATCTGAGCTTTACCATTTGCAACTTTGTTTAGAGATATCTCCGATTCAAAGAGCAATGGGAGGACTTCTGCTAGCCCATTTGTTATGGGTGTCTTCGAAGATAAGATGGACAACATTGACAGTGAAGATGAGGAGGCTCATGATCAAAATTCTGTGGTAGTTAAACGGTTTAATTTTGATGATCTTTATCTCAGGTATGCAATTAAATTCCCCACTTTTGTTTTTTCATACAGAAGCCTTTTTTGACATCTACCCTTATTTCTTGATCTTCCTTTATCTTCACTTATCTAAATTTGAACTTGATCATATAGTCTAAGTATGACATAACCCATCTAAGATATTATGTATTTTTCCTTGTCTTTCTGGCTTTTTATTGAAGTTTTTGCCACAATGTTATAGTAAATTTACTTTGTTTTCATCCATATTTAACAATATGATATATGGTTTCATTATCTTTTAGTGATAGTGATGACTCTGGTGATGACTCGTCTCTTGAAGCCCAACCTTGCCTGATGGAGAAGGTTGAATCAGGGGAAAGTAGTTTGTTCGGGCTATCCCCTTGTCCAAAACTTGTTTTGGTTACTACTTACATAAGGAGATAAACTGTTGATTTTACATTACTACTTACATAAGGAGATAAACTGTTGATTTTACATTAGAGATGTGTGTGTGTGTGTGTGTGGTAAAGTAGTTTGTTCGAGCTATCCCCTTGTCCAAAACTTGTTTGGTTACTACTTACACAAGGAGATAAACTGTTGATTTTGCATTAGAGATGTGTTTTGGTTACTACTTACATAAGGAGATAAACTGTTGATTTTGCATTACTACTTGCATAAGGAGATAAACTGTTGATTTTACATTAGAGATGTGTGTGTGTTGATTTTACATTACTACTTACATACGGTGATAAACTGTTGATTTTACATTAGAGATATTTCATCCTTGGTGTATTGAAAATTTTAACTGGCTTGATTAACAGGATGAAATCAAGAACCAAATATCAGCATTAGAGACGGATCTGAAGACTGAAAGTCAATCTATTTCTGCAATCTTTCGAGTTGAGAGATATAGAGAAGAAAGATGTGAAATGGAAAGAAAACTTGATACTCAATATCAATGCAATATGTAAGATCAAACGTTTCATTTCTTAGGGCACCTTTTATTTGAAAGATCCTACTCCGAAAAGTTCCGTTCATGGACTATCTATTCTGAATTTTGTTTTTTCCGACAACAATAACAAGCAAGTCTTAATCTCACTCTTTAAGCTTTCTGATTCTGTTCTGTTCTGAAATCCTGTGGGAGCGTCTTTTAAATGTCTATCTACATATTGTTACTAAAATTGTTAGTTTTTTTCTTCTGGCCATTGGCCAAATTATTGTTACTTTACTTGTGATCAGCTTTGTTTGGAATTTTTTTTTATGGGACATAATATAAAATTTTACATGAAGGAGAACTTACAATCTGAATGCTTAATTCAACTTTCATTTATTCTTTCTTGGTTTCAGTAATATCTCCGCCGGTTAATTTAATTGATAATACAATTATTAAATCACCTGCAGAGCAGAAGCACATCACTTGACTGCTGTCCAGCGAGACCTTGAAGTCAGATCTCAAACAGAAGAAAGAAAAATAAGAATTGATGCAGCTTATAAAGATGCTAAAAGAAGGGAAAAAGCTCTGCAAGAAGAAAAACTTCGACAAGAACGAGCTAAAGCTGAAGCTGAGGTCTTTTTGTTTGGCCTTTTTATATCATTACTGTTTTGTTGGTAAGTTTCTAGATATGGTGTGCATGCAATGGCCTCATTATGTTACTGCTTTAGATATTCTTTGTTGATGTGTCGGAAAGGGTTTTTTGCATTTCAAGTAAAAGCTGTTCCAGTGAACTTTGGGTAATGTGGTTAGTAACCATCCACCCCAACTTGCTCATTGTATATGCTTTTCATTGCATTTGTCTTACATGCTCGACTACTAACCTATGCTATCTCAATTAATCTTGGGTAACTATTTCTACTCATTTGCGATGCAAAATTTTTCTTTGCTTGAATTCATGCTGAATTCCTCTTTAGGCATGTATCCTGTCTTTGATACCCCATAACTGGTTCCCACTTCCCATACATTGTTTCCATGGTGACCTTGATAGCTCTAGCCAATATAATTAAACTAAAAAAGAAAAGAAAAGAAGAAAGTAAAAGTGGTGCATATGCTGGAACTTTTAGGTAGATTTTCACTGAGTTAAAAAAAAAAAAAAAAAAAAAAAAAAAAAATAATAGATGCAGGCAAAAGTGCTGAGGAAAGCAAAAAGAGCTGAGGAAACGCAAAAGGAGCTGACAAAAGGAAAGCTCAGAAGAAGAGCAGCTAATGAAGCTGCAGAAAAGGGAAGCTTCTGAAGTCTCAAAGAGGGCTGATTCTGGATCGGCACAAGAAGGAGCTTACAGACCTCAGATAAATGTTTCGAATGCTCAATCCAGCGGAAAACCACCAGCAGCAGGTATTTCTCCTATAAATGGGAAATAAAAGAACTTTCTTGCACCTCTTTCTTTTCATGGCCTTTTCAGTTGTTTCTTTCCAGAAGTTTTCCACCATCTGATACATGAACTGGGCTATTTAATGGCAGGTAATATACTCAAGGCAGCAGAAAGTGCTCTGAATCTAGAGCAGGGGAGACTACAAAAGCTTAAACAGTTTGATGATGAAAACCAGGCACTGAGATTACGCTCCAAAGAGGTCTGCTGGCACCCAAACATTAAGCCTTGAAGGCTTTATTCTATTGGTTTTGTGAAACAATGCTTCTGTTTTTTCTATTTGTCTACAACTTCCCGATATCTAATAGAATTGATTAATTTTATATATATATATATATATATATATATATATGTCGTTTGAATTTCTAATTCTGGAACTCAATATTAGAATGCATGTTTCTATTGATTCTTTCCTTTGTTCTGTAATGTATCGTTTGCTTGTTGATATTATTACTTTATATTATTTCTTATTATTGCTGATGATTATTATCACGATCTTTTCTTGTCATTGTGATTGTATTGCATCCTGTTTATGCAATCTTTGGATAAGTCATGTTATTCTAATCTACTTTTCAACATGTTTTTACTCTTCCTTTATGTTAGTTTGTCATGCCATGTCTCTTCTTTTTGTTAGGATTTCAGAAGTATGAGAGGCAAATTTCTAAGTTGGTTCAGCAAATTACAGGAACAAAAGACAGTGTCAGGTCAGGTGGATCCCTTCCATTTATGATATGATGTGGTTTGTTGAAATTTGTTTTATCTTCTATCTTTTCTGTGGTACTGTATTGAACATTGATGCACATGAGGTAGCTACTTCTGTTGGTAGAGGACTGGGAACATGCATAATGCCTTATGAGTTTTCTCCAGAAGGCACCCTAAAATCTGGTCAAGCATGAAGTTTGCTACAAGTTGAGATGTTTGTGGGCTAACAGCCCACTCCTTCCCTCATTGTTATATGCTTTCTTTTCTCTTTTCTCCAATATTAACAACAAAGCCGTGTCCAAACTATGTGGGATCAGCTACTAAACCATAGTCTTCCGTATGTCCAGTGATTCCTGTGTAAATTAGCTCAACTCAAGAGAGTAAAAAGTTGAGCATTGCCTAGTTCGCCAGTAGTGTTATATATTATACATTACATGTCACTCACAAATTCGCACCACGTACCTACTAGTGTAGGTATAATATTGGTTTGGATCCCAGGAGAAATCCGAGCAAGCCAAATTCACAACTTCTAGAAAATTTTTTTTTTTTTTTTTTTTTTTTTTTTTTTTTTTTTCTTCGTTTTTTTTGTTTTTTTATTATAAACAGAAAATGATGGATCGCCGCCTCATCCCTTTGCTTTTTCTTTACGGAACCATGACCGTGAATCACTGCCTTAGTTTGGATTTCTAAAGCATGTTGGTGGAGTAGACATCGGTTTTTTACCTTGAACCAAGACGGTTTTTCACCATCGTTGTTTTGTATTTTTGGCATAGTGTAAACATGAATTTTATAAATTGTAATGGAATGAATGAATTTCCCCATCAATCACTTAGAATGGAAATTATTTCTATGTTGTTTTTATCTAAATAAGTTGTCTATGGTAGAATTGAATCAAAATATTTGCTATTAAACAAACATTTTAGGCATATTTTCTAATTAGAAGTTACTGCTGAATTGAAATGGTTGAACTAACTTTGGTCCACTAGAAGTTAACTTCGAACCAACTTCACCATGCATTTTCTGCATTACAAATTTTGGGTAATTACAGTCTACTCCTCTAGCTAGTGAAAGGTAAGGAACCCTCCAGCTTAGAGCTTACAGACTTATTGCATTTCTATTTCTTGCTTATTCTTAGCCATGTCTACAACTAAAAACTCAGGCATCCCGAATCCCTGCCGTCCAAAAGATCTAATATGGGTCGTGCCACACAAAATTTTACAATTATTGAAACAAAAAGAAAAGAAACGAACGTAAGGGGCAGTGTACGTCAGCATAGGAAAACTCCCAGTCAATTCCAAGTCAGACTGAGAGTGCATTGCTTGTATGTCAAATGAGAGAGAGATGTATGGTGCATTGCACTGTGCACACAACTGGTAATAAGGCATATTCTCTCATATTTTTGGTAACTATTATGCGTGAATCATCACAACAGTTTTTTCTCATCACACAAAAGTTTATAGCATCCCTTACCAAAACTCAAATATATTAGGCGATCCAAATGACCAATACTGAAGAGCTAATCTCGCATAATTCCCTATTCTATTTAAAATTAAAAATAAAAGTCCAAAAAAAAAAGGTCATAAAGAGGAGAAGTGTGTACTCGAAGTCAAAGATTATGACATGCATGAACACCTTCTTTGGTTTCATGAAATTCGGGGGTTGGAATTTCAGGCCACAGATGAAGATAGCAATCGATTAATAAATACGTAGACAATGACGTTAAGATTCTGGCTGGTTCCATATACTATTCTACAGAAACTAATGATTATTTTATTTTATCTAATAAATAAATAACAATTTCTCACGGGGCTGAAAGGGATAGAGAGCAGGATCTGGGACAAAGATTGTAAGCCGTGGATGGTTCCTTCATTTTGTAGTATAATATAATTTTTTTTCATTCCATCCAAAAAAATAATATATATATATATATATGTATTCCTATATTATTTTAATTTTGGGTATATTATTCCAACTATAAATAGCAACGTAAACATTCCAACTTGCACGCCTACGTTCCTCAGTGCTGGTTCTTCTTCTTTATAAGAATCCGAAGGACTGTGCACAGTGCATAGACACAGCCACTAGGCGTTTTGATTGAATCATTCACCTACGTACATTTGATACTTTCTTGTCACCACCCCGCATCGAAGAGCCACGTGCGTATGATGATGAGGATTCAGCCAGAAATGCCCCCCCACGAAGCTACAATTATAGATATTATACCTCCAGCCGAAGCTCCCCATGAAAACAGCCCAGAAAACCCACACCCACACCCACCAGGAGAGCGCAGCAAGAAACGAAAACGCAGCAAGAAACGAAACCGACGAGAGAATCTTCGAAATCCACAGCATGTCATGCCGGCCGTGACCATCATCCTTGCGTTGGCTGCGGTCCTCTTCAACTTGGCGGCAAACGCTCGAACGTATATTCAGCCACCGACGGAGTCGCTTGTGGATTGTGCATGCTCACACGGGCCTTGCCGGTGTGTCCCCTTGATCTATTACTTCTCGTTAATTGCAACCTTCGGTCTAGTGCTGTTGTTTTGGGGCCTCCTTGTGGTAAGTTTTCACTTGCCATTTATCTTTCTAACTTGGGGAGGCATGTTATTTGTTTGGATTTCATATTGGTTTATACAACCTTGTACTGGTATTTTTGGTTGCCCTTCGGCTGTCTCCTACAACCTTGGTGGATAAATATGGCTGTCTCCTACAACCTTGTACTGGTATTTTTGGTTGCCCTTCGGCTATTATTGCCAGAAAAATGGAGTAATGTAATCTCTTACTTCACCCGCACCATGCCAGAGTACCTGTGGTCGAAAATAAAGGGGGGAGTGCTGTTTATCACTCAATTGAAGCGGCATCGTTGATATCACATACAACAGGTTCATCAAAGACGGAGAGTGAAGCACTTCATGGGGTTTCAGTACTTGGAAGATTCCAACTTTTCTAACCCTTTTAGTTCAACATAACATAGGTTTAGTTGGAATTCTGATTGATATTGTGTAGTAATGTAAATACCGAAAAAAGGGTTTTCTGTCGCTTGCGAGTTTGTTTTTATCAATTAAGGTTTTTCTCATGTATGTCATTTGTAAAATATATATAGTTGAATTTTACAGTAATTAAACCAATTGAGAAAAAATTACATACAGTTTGTTTCATAAACCAGTTTTGAAATCCAATCCCAGCAAGCTAAGTCTATGTATGAATAAACAGATTTTTTACAGGCTCCTTTTTTTTTTTCCTGGTTTTGTTTTGTTTTTTTTTTATGAAATTCACAGAAATGATGGATGGAAGAGTGAGAGTGAGTGAGTTTGGATGGGAAATATTCCATTCTCTTTTCTGATTTCTTTTTTTCTTTTTTTCTTTTCCATTCCATTTCATAGCATAATGCAAGGAGAAAAGTCTATATATGAATAAACCAGTTTAGAAATCCAATCCCAGCAAGCAAGTCTATGTATGAATAAACAGATTTTGGATCCTAATGAATAAATGACAACGCGTAAAAAAAGTACATATGCAAACGATATAAACGCTAAAAATAAGTATGAACAATTGTCATTTCCCACTAGGCCTCATCATTTGGCCCGCGGGCTCATGGGCCGATGGGGGCCCGCCCGGCCCATAAAAAAAGCCCGGCCCGGCCCGTTATGGGCTTTGAGATGGCTCGGCTCGCCTTGGGCAGGGCTAGGCTTGGGCTTGGGTGTCTGAAGCCCGGCCCGGCCCGTTAGGCCCGCATACATATATAATTATGTATAAATAAGAGTTTAGGTTTAGGATTATATCACTTAAATCACATATATAATTTGTTTCATTTCATTTACTTTTCTTTACTCATTCCTAGTTTATAATTGGATGATTAGCACATTAATTTGTGTCAATTATTAATTCAACAATTATATATATATATATATATATAAATAAGATGAACAACATATCACATCACCACATAATCATATCACGAAATATAATCGTACCACCAAATATAATTACGCTTTTCTTGAACACATCACCAAATATTTGCATATTTATTCATACCATCCTTTAAAAAAAATATTTGTTTGATACTTATTATTTTTTTAAATTATTTCTTAAAATGTATTACGGTCTAATTATGTAATAACCTCAAAAATAATACTTGATTTTATTATTTTTGTGGAAAATTTTATTAAGTTGTGTGACTTTATTGGGTGTTTTATGAATTTGGTTTGATGTGAAAATATTGGAATTAAGTGAGTTTAATCTCAAATTTGGACTAAAATGCCCTTATGATTAAGTTTATGATTTTTTTTTTAAGAAGTAGGCTTGTTTAGGCCCGGCCCGGCCCGATGGGCTTTCTCAAGCTTGGCTCATAGGTCGGGCTTGGGCTTTGAATTTTCTAAAAAAACCCAGCCCGCCCTTGCCCGATATTTTCTCTCTTCTCTTTAAAGCCCGGCTCAGCCCGGGCCAAGCCCATTGAATTTGACGAGCCCTACTTCCCACTAGAAAACCATGTAAGCCCCTTGTTATGTACAGGGCCTGCCTTGACTTTTGGGTGGCTTTAGGCTAGAAATGAAAACGAGGCCCATTTCTCTTTCATTCTTTGGAATATAAATATAATATGGATAAATAAACACGGCTCCAGTTAGGCCTCATCATTTGGCCTGCGAGCTCATGGGCCGATGGGGGCCTGCCCGACCCATAAAAAAAAAGCTCAGCCCGGCCCGTTAAGGGCTTTGAGATGTTCCAGCCTGCTTCGGGCTGGGCTAGGCTTGGGTGTCTGAAGCCCAGCCCGGCCTGATTAAGCCTAAGAAAGCCCATCCTGGCCCACCCACAAAAGCCCGGCCCGTTAGGCCCGCATACATATATAATTATGTATAAATAAGAGTTTAGGTTTAGGATTATATCACTTAAATCACATATATAATTTGTTTCATTTCATTTACTTTTCTTTACTCATTCCTAGTTTATAATTGGATGGTTAACACATTAATTTGTGTCAATTATTTATTCAACAATTATATATATATATATATAAGATGAACAACATATCACATCACCAAATATAATCATATCATGAAACATAATCGTACCACCAAATATAATCATGCTTTTCTTGAACACATCACCAAATATTTGCATATTTATTCATACCATCCTTTAAAAAAAAATATTTTTTTTGATACTTATTATTTTTTTTAAAGTATTACGATCTAATTATGTAATAACCTCAAAAATAATACTTGGTTTTATTATTTTTGTGGAAAATCTTATTAAGTTGTATGACTTTATTGGGTATTTTATGAATTTGGTTTGATGTGAAAAATATTGGAATTAAGTGAGTTTAATCTCAAATTTGGACTAAAATGCCCTTATGATTAAGTTTATGATTTTTTTAAAATGAAGTAAGCCCGTTTAGGCCAGGCTCATTGGGCTTAACTCGGCCTTGCCCGATGGTCTTTCTCAAGCCCGGCCCATGGGTCGGGCTTGGGCTTTGAATTTTCTAAAAAAATCCCGCCCGGCCCTGCCCGGTATTTTTTCTCTTCTCTTTAAAGCCCGGCCAGGCCCAAGCCCATTAAATTTGGGCTGGGCTAGCTCGGTCTGACCCATTGACGAGCCCTAGCTCTAGTATTGGTCATATAATCACTGCCCCAATCTGAAAATAAATAAGAATGAGGATACAAATAATTTGCACTCTTTCATATTTCCTTGCTAAATAATCTAATAACAAGAATTTTTGGATAAATAAAAGAATTTCTAGTCCCTATTGGCTTTCTTTCATTAATTACTACTTTTAGCAATTAAATACTTTTTGGCAATTAAATACCTAAATACATGCAATTGATGTTCGTATATTATATAATTTTCATTTGGACTCTTCAGAAACATTTGTAATCATATTTAGGGCCTCCAAATGCCAAACTATTGAAATTATTCTCCTCTAAAATCATATTCTTCAATTTGGTACATATATAATATATATATATATATATATATATAAATTAGGGTCCTACAAATGCGAGGCCCATGGCCATCACCCTCCTTGCCCACCTTCAGGGCCGACACTGGTTATGTATGGCCATCTGATGGCAGGATTCAGTATTTTTTTGTGTAGGGTATTTCTTGGAGACCAGATGGAGCCAATCTTGAGAAGCTTTGTCATTACATGTTGTGTTTATGTTTCATTAGCTTTTATCATTCATGTGGAGTTAGTTGGAAACTTGTGTAATATTTGGAGGAGACTTTGGAACGATGCTCGAGTGGACACCAAGGGCACCTCTATGTCCATCTCAGTTGTGATTAATGAATCTTCACCGTAAATGATTCTTATTATAATATACAACGTAGAATTTTTGAATCACCCCAATGTTTAAGGCTATGTGTATACTAATTTTCAAAGTGTAGGCCTTAATTGAGAAAAGCTCAAAGATTAAAACTTGAAATTAATTATAATTTTGTTATACATATATGAAAAAGAAAACACGTAAAGAAATAAAAACCGCCATTTGAAAAAGAAAACACATCAATTAATTAAAATTAAATTACACGATGGCTAATAAATATTAACAACGATGGTCAAGAAAATAATTCACGTCGTAGATTTATAAGTAAGACAACGGACAGTGATCCAACCGACAAATTTTAGGCAAACACTACTTCTACCGATAAATAATTACTGTCATCTAAAAAGTGCAATAAAGGCAACTCAGTTCCATTAACTGTTGTGAGAGCTCTTCTGAACGATGATTAAAAGAAAACAATTGACGTCTCAGAGAATACACACGTCAATGAGGTTTATAAAAGCGCCTTTCAAAAGGCCAACCATGTCCATTCCTATACACTTACCGACGTGGTAAGTAAAATAACAACGTCAATAAATGGGATTCTAGGGACGTAGTGAAGAGATTAATCACGACTGTTAGTTTACAACAATCACCGTTCAAACATTGATCCACGGCGGTTTACCTTAACTTCATGCTGGGAAAAGAGTTTTTAACGACCGCGAATAAATACTTGGGTCGTGGTTAGGGATTTTCACTAATCATATTTTGTAGATACTCATTCAAAGATCATCTCTACAAAAAATCACTTGAATCCGATATCATTTGACCACTGAATTGAATTATTGAAATTTTAGTACTATCTTGAAGTATCGTATTCATTGATTTTGTAGGACATAATTGGATATCGAAACAGTTTTCAATTTGTCTAATTTTTTGCAAAGATAATCTACGAATGTAACCACCTTTGTACAACCACTTTCTTCCACAATATCAAAGCATCATTAATTCTCAATATTGTTATAGGATGATGAGGATCCAAGTGATTGAGAGAGATTGCATTAAGCCTTCTTCACCAACCCCACCCCATCTCCGTAAACATGAACTTTCTCTTCTTGACCAAATCGCAGTCAAACAAAGTAGGGGAAAAAATTCAGATATTCTAATATAATTATTCTTCTCCAATATGAAGGTATTTATACAAGTACAAAGATGTGTTAACCCTAAATAAAATGGGAAATATATCTAAATTACAATAGAAAATAAATATAAATTATAATAGGAAATAAATCTCAATTATAATATGACTAGATAAATGGTAAGTAACTAAAATCCTAACATAGTAAGGAACCAAAATCCTAACTAAGTAAGGACTCGCCAACAATCGCCACCCCAATTTTCATGCATATGATCCTTTTCTACACCAACAATAATGGTTGTCGTGGTAGCAATGCCAAAATATATTCTGATCGGGTTAAGCAATTCTTATCGAAGATCTTGCCACAATATTATCTACTAGCAAGATGTGTTATCAACAATGCCTACGTCAATTGCAATTACCAAGGTGCCCATTAAGTTTTCCATTTTTGCTGTTTATATAGTAATTAGACGTCGGTTTGTATGTTGATATGACATTGTATGTCTTAACGACGTCGGTTATTTGCCGTCGTTGTTTTATATATCAATAGATGGTAGTCGATTTGATGACAGTTTAAAAACCTTCTAGACGACGGTGAATTCCCGTCGTCTATTTCAATTTTTGTAGTAGTGATAACACAGACATATTAGTTACATAGGGAAATTTGTAACACAAACATATAGTTACACACACAGAAATTCATTTCTTTAGCTTTAGCAGCACCCGACCGGTTGGAGCAACATAAGAGAGTAACTCGCTATCACAATCAAACTTAGCCATGACTTCCTACTCCAAACTAACATATGCCTCTATTCCACCACCTTATTTGGTGTCCGTGAAAAGCACAAGGTTATTGCAGGTGAGTGCCAGTGAGCCGACCCACGTAGGCGTCCCTCAACCAAAATCATTGTCATAAAGAGGAAATCAAGAGCTACTAAAGCTAAGTAACATAGCCATCTCTCCCCTCTTAAAACTATCAGCTTGTTTCTTCATCACACGCAGGTGCTCATTGCCTCGCTTTTGTAATTTCTTCACCTAGTCATTGTCTATCTTGCCTATTGCTTCTCGTACTAGTGGAATCATGACGCTGTGATCGCATTCTTCATCCCCACCACCATTACTTGGAATTCTTGTGTGGACCATGAATTTTTCAATGGGTGGGCTAACTAAAGATATTAGCTTAAAATCTAAGGACCAATTTTTTTTTGGGTACTTACTATTTCTATAGTTGTTCTAGAAATAAAAGTATACATTGGGATAAATTAGTAAAAGGTTGAGAGTTAAAATCAATAGTGTTTATTAAGAGATTACGTTTCTTATTTGAGCAAACAAATTAAATATAGGGTTAACTACACTTTAGTCCATGGAGGTTTAGTGTCAGTATCGAAATGGGCCCCAAGGTTTCATTTTCATCAATTTCGTACCCAACATTTCGAAATATTATCAATTTACACCAGCCGTTACATTGACCGTCAAAGTCAGACGTTAAATGCTGACGTGGCAGTCGTGGGACTCACCTCATAACTAAACAGTAGTTAGAAAGTGACATCACGATGGGCAATTTCGGAAAAAAAAACACACGATCGACTTCACACGCTTTCCAAGGCGGGCTTCAATTACCAGGCTTGGAAAAATCGAACAAACTCAGTTTCTGAGTTGTGTTCGTGCACTGAGACAGACATAGAGGAGAGGGTTTGAGGGTTTGTTCATGTTTTGGAGTGCAAAAATTTGAAATAGACTGCAAAAATCATACTAAAATGGAGGTTTCCGAAAGATCTGAAGAATATGAGTTGGGGACTTCGTCCGGAAGGATATGGAGAACCTTTCTTCGGTACGTATGGCTTACTGTTCTAAGGTTCTTGGCAAATGATGTTTTCGAGTGAAAGTTTCAAATAGAGTCAGTTTCGAGTTCGGTGTTAACTGAAAGTTTGGCTTTTATAATGGATTGTGAGTTTCGAGTTAGGTGTCGGTATCACTGTGTCTATTTAATTGGTGGATGGAATGGTATGAATGGTAGGTGGTATGCATAAGTAAAAAGCCTCTTTTGTATGTGGTCCTACAACCATTGGGAATCTTACCTTTTGTTTATGTGTGTATTGACATAGAAACTTGCATTTGTATATGTGTGTTTGTATTTGTCTGTTTGTATATCTGCATTTGTATATATGCATATGTATTTGTATTTGTATGTGTATTTGTAAACAGGATTACATGTAATTTTTTTGGGTAAAATTGGTAAAATTCATGTGTGGCTTTCTACCTGCAGGGGATGAGGCAGGATTTTCTATTCAAATGTACCACAATGGTGAAATAAAAGGTAACTATCATGTGAATGGGTCTGTGGATTGGTTTGATTATTGTAATAAGGACAGAATGTCAATGACTGAGATAGATGCCATGGTCAAGGAGTTAGAGCACGAAGGTTTGATTAACTATTGGTACAGTATTCTAGGTGATAGTTTTGACGGTGGCCTAGTTAAGTTGAGTGAGGATACAGATGTCTTAGACATGCTAGTATTTGTGCCAGACACTAGGGTGATAAATATATTCCTAGAACATGTCTCGACATGCAGTCAAGAGCAGTTTTGTAGTCAAGTGGGTTCAAACATATTTATAAATTTGGATGATGAATTTGGGACCAACACTGGGGTAGTGATTCAAGAGCTTGATGACAATTATGGTGCCATTGTTCCAATGGGTGGGGGAGTATCCCAGCTGCAAAAGGTGAAAAAAAACAAGTGTTGTAATAGAAGAGTTGAATCAAGAATAGTTGAATCAAGAAGTAGGTGGAGAAGACAAAGAGTTGAATGAACAAGGGTTGAATGAAGATGGGCTGATTGATGAAGCTTCTAAACAAGGCAAAGAAACTGCCACTCTGAATAATGAGGAGAATTCTGACAAGGGCCAAGAAAAGCCAAGTCAAGGTTGTTCTGATAAAGGCAAAGGCAAGGATAAAGACATGTCATATAGGTGAAGCGTGCATTTGGTAAAAAAAGATTTGGCAGTTTGAGGAGGACAAAGACTGTTCACCATAAAGACAAAGTTGTGGAAGTAAGGGTTGATGGCGTCAGGACCGAGTTTCAAAGGCATTCCATGATGTTGAGAAGTGGAAGAAGATTGGCAAATGCTGCAGACTTTGAAGATGAAGATGATGATGCTTGTGATAGTGAGGACTCAGATTATATGATTCCCAAGAACTTCAGTGAAGATGAAGATGAAGATGATGTTTTTTTATATGAATGGGTGGATGACCAAAGTGAATGGACAGGGGTTAAAGAAACTGGGAATGAGGCTGCTCCTGATTGGCCTACACATGTTGAATTAGATTCTGAAGATTCTGAGTGTAGGGATTATGCCAAATATAATTCTGACAAGGAAGTTGATAAGAATTGGCTAGAGTTCAATGCTGCAATTGACATGGTAGATCTAAAGTTTGAGATTAGGATGTTGTTCAGTGATTGTAAGGTGTTTAGGGCAGCTGTCAGAGAATACTCCATCTTGCAGAATAGGGATGTAGTGTTTATTAGGAATGATGCTTTGAAGCTGAAAGCAGTTTGTGGGGACCCAGATTGTGGGTGGATTATATTTGCTTCAAAAATGCAACATGAGAAGACATTGCAAGTGAAGACATATGTAGGTGAGCACACATGTACACAGCTATGGGAGAACCCTACTGTGAAGTCAACATGGATAAGCAAGAAATATGTTGACACTTTGAAGTCCAATCCCCAGTGGCCAGTCAGGTCATTCAAGCAGGCTGATGAGAGTGATTATAATATAGGGGGTGTCAAGACTGTCTATAGGGCAAAAGATAAGGCACTAAAGCTGATTGAGGGCAGTTTCAATGAACAATATTCAAGAATTTGGGATTACTATGAGGAATTAAGGAAGAGTAACCCAGGAACCACAGCAATGGTTAAATGTGATTTCCAACAACAGTTAGGGCAAACAAAGTTTCAAAGGTTGTATGTTTGTTTAGGAGCTGCTAAGGAAGGCTTCAAAGCTGGGTGCAGGGCTATTATAGGCTTAGATGGGTGCTTTTTGAAGAGTGTTTATGCAGGGCAATTGTTGACTGCTGTGGGTATAGACCCCAATAATGAAACCTGGGTAATTGCTTATGCAGTTGTGGAATTAGAGTGCAAGGAATCTTGGATTTGGTTTATGGAGCTATTGGTTAAGGATTGTCAGATTGTGAATCAATTTGGCTTCACCTTTATATCAGACAAACAAAAAGGTTTACTGCCTGCTTTTGAGCAAGTGGTCCCTAATTGTGACCACCGGTTCTGTGTAAGACACCTGTTTTCCAACTATAGGGTGTTTTTCAAAGCAAAAAGCCTCAGAGACAAGTTTTGGGAAGCATCATATGCAACCACTGTCCCCCACTTTACAAGGGCCATGGAAGACCTGAAAAAACTGTCAAAGAATGCATATGAATGGCTAACCACTCCAGATAAACCTCCAAGGCATTGGTCCAAGTCACAGTTCAACACTCATTTGAAGTGTGACATATTGTTGAATAATCTTTGTGAGTCTTTCAATGCTACCATATTGGAATGTAGGGATAGACCAATTCTGTCAATGTTTGAGTATATTAGATGTAAGCTGATGAGGAGAATACAAGGAAGAAGGGACAAAATGCTGACATGGAACAAGCCTATCTGCCCAAGGATATTTAAGAATGTGGAGGGAACTAAAGCCAAGGCAGGTGCTTATGTGACAATGTGGTCAGGTCGAGGTAAATTCCAAGTGTCAGCTGGTGGCCATGCACAATATATTGTGGACTTGGAATTGAGAACTTGTTCTTGTAGAGCTTGGGATTTGCAGGGATGGCCTTGTGTTCATGCTATTGCAGCCATAAATTATAAAGGGGGTCTTAATGTCATGGATTTTATGGATGACTGCTATTTGAAAACAACTTACTTGAAGACATATGAGAATCTCATACTGCCTATGAATGGGATGGATATGTGGGATAAAAGTGACTTTCCGCCATGTCTTCCTTCGTCTTACTCTAAACAGCCTGGAAGGCCAAGAAAATGTAGAAACAAAGAACAGGAAGAGAAGAAGGGCAAGATGAAGATGATAGCATCAAGCAACCAATCTGAAATTGCATTGTCTCGCATTCCCAACACACAAGACTCTCTCAAATGTGGGCAATGTGGTAAAAAAGGGCACAATAAGAGGACTTGCCATAGGAATCTTCCCCCAAAAGCCAAACCTGCAACTAAAAGGAAAAGGGGTACTGAAAATACCCAGGTATAGCAACTCATTCTTGTTCAATTCTATCCCTTAATAACCCTAAGCTTTTGTTACAAACTGATGTAGTTTTTATGTTGTAGACCATTCCATCTGACGCATCCACTCTAGATGGTGGTCCAAGCACCCTAAAGCAAAGATCCAAGCCTCCAAGGCGTGTGCAAAAAGGGAAGCCAAACCAAGTAAGAAAGGAGATGCCACTTATGAAGCACAACCAGCCTCAACTTCATGTCCTCATGCATCAACTTCTGTTTCAACTGCAGGATCAAATGTTGTACATTGAAGCTCACTGAAAAAGCTATTTGATGATTCACCTTTTTTTTGTTAGATTGACAGTTTGTGATTAGGAGGTTTTTGTTTTTGATAAATTGGTCCTGTATAACTTAAGTGCTGACTTTTTTTGATGGATGTAATGACATTCACATAAGCCTCAACCACTGTGAATGAAAATACATCCACTGAAACTGCCATTTTGGAATGAATTTGAATGGACATGAAATATGTACGATATGCAATGTTATTATCTTGCTATTTTGAGCCCATTTTGAATGCAGAATTTTTTGAGTTTTTGGGTTGCCACTTTGCTTCATTATTTTGGTCATTCACTTCATTGTTCCAGGTGCATCCATTTTCTAACTTCCTTGCTACATTGTTTTTGCCATTCCATTTTCTACAAATTTTGCCATTCCATTCACTTCATCAAGTTACAAAAAGTCAGCAATTAAGCCCTTAAGCCTTACCGCTAAAACCCTAAACCCTTACACAACAATTAAACCATTACAAAATGCTACTAACAACCCAACACTTACAGAATCATAGAAAATACCCTAAACAACCCACAAACAATACATTCATTCAATGGCAGAAGCTAATTCCAAGCTCCTACATCCACACATCCCTCCTAACATGATGCTTGCAAATAGAACCCACGAAGCCACCAACAAAACCCAAACGACCTTTTCTCTTTGTCTTGCCTTTGCCACTGACTTCTCCAGCTTATTCCGCGATTTTAGAAGCCCAGGAATCACTGCCTTCGACCGTTCACACATGGCCGGATCAAACCATGCCCAGAATTGACAGCCCTTAAAACCCTTACTCTCACGTACCTTTGCTGCACACATGGAAAATCGCCTCCCAGGATTCGAATCTGTCCAAGAGGTTCGAATTGTAGCAGCCTTTCCGTACCAACACATAGGTGCCTCTTCATCCATTTCGCCTAGCCAATCGGATCTTCTTCGTTAGTTTCCCTCCACTTTTTTCCTCGCTCATTTGCTCTCCAAAACACGAATCCAATCCATTTGAGTTTGTTCAATTTTTCCAAGCCTGGTAATCGAAGCCCGCCTTGGAACACGTGCAAAGCCAACCGTTTGTTTTTTTTTCCGAAATTGCCCATCGTGACGTCGCTTTCTAACTGCTGTTTGGTTATGAGGTGGGTCCCAAGACTGCCACGTCAGCATTTAACGTCTGACTTGGACGGTCAATGTAATGGCTAGTGTAAATTGGTAATTTTTCAAAATGTTGGGTACGAAATTGAAGAAAATGAAACCCTGGGGCCCATTTCGATACTAACACTAAACCTCCAGGAACTAAAGTGTAGTTAACCCTTAAATATAAGATTATTACTGCCTACAAAATTGAGTGAACAATGGGTTACAAGGCTACATGTAGGTGGGGCTACTAAACTTTTATGGGATGAATAACATTAAAATATATGTAATATATTTTAATTTTTAAGAAAGGCTGCATGGGCTAGAGCCTATGATAGCCCTCCACCTAATTCCGCCAGTGGAGCTGTCATGGCGACACGAAAAAGATTCCCAAATGAACTTTGAGGCAACATAATGGATCACCTTGTACAACTTATTCATGGTACTATCCTTTGTAGCCGCCACAAACAGACTCCACACAAAAGTGGATAAGGTTTCGATACGTGTTGGGCATTTCTTCAAGTGCATATTGTGTTCATATCTTGCTCGGAGGTTCTCTATTTGAGAGGCATCAAACACAAACCGCTTTGTTACCTTGTCCTTTGTGAAGCCAAATGCCACCATCATATGCAATATTAAACTCCTTTGGTGGGAAGAGTGTGGATGAAATAAACTCCGGAGGGTTTATGTTGGCTTTGTCTCCACGAGCAATGGCTGCCTAAATTTTGTTGAACATGAAATACGACAGCCCATCAGCAATCTTGTGAGAAATGCATTGACCAATTGCAAAGCCTCATTGAAATATGTTGAGCTGGACCTGATAGGATTTTTAGTACCTGTGCAAACAGGGTTAAAATCACTGAAAATACTTGCAAGAATACAATTTAATTGTAGTATAAATGCTCATATAAGGTCGTTGTCCCCAAAGATTGTTTGACTAATCTGTAATTAAACTAACTCTTAATTAATAACTAAAATAGATTTTATCAAAGATTTGAAGTTTATGAATTTGAAAAGATTAAACTAACAGTAAAAGAAATCTGAAAGTTGGGAAATAATAACAGCAAAGAAGAAAAACGATTTCTTTTTAAAGACTAACAATTTAGAGAAAACTAGGGTTTAGCCAAAACCGTCGCAATCTTATGCAATTCTATCAATTACTTATGAATTTTCACATATATATGCTTTGAAGGTTAGGTTTTCCTAATGCATATTTTCCTTGTGATGTTCAAGCGAAAACGTATATCTAACATGCAATCCGTCTGTGATGTTCAGATCAAATATAAACATGCAAGACTCATTAAGTTTTGTGAAAACCCTTTGAAAAACCATGCAACCCTTAAGAGCGTGATGTTCGCCTTAAGTGAACTTACAATTACTAATCACAAGAAGCCCTCCTCAATTTCAGGGTGATGTTCCAACAGAAATTGCATCAAATTACTTGTCTACATATCCTAATGGTGATCAGTCATTAAAATAGATAGATAGTTTTTAAACACAGTGATTAATAATTCAAAGCAAACATGCATCCATTCATAAGCAAATTAATAAAACTACATATTCATGCTAAGGCTTACGGCCTCACCCTAGCAAAAGGAATTAGTTACACATAATCATAATTGAAATCCAAGAAAATATCATTCGAATGAATAAGAATGAAAACACCTGAAAGTAGCGAAAATCCAAAACCCTAGCAATTGCTCCAAAAGCCAAAAAGAAGTCTAAAAGGGAGTCCACAAAATTGTTGTGAAAACCAACTTAAATACTTCCTAAAACCTAGCTGCCAATGTACAGCTTTTCTATCCCTACAAGGAAATTAACTAAAATAAAATAATACTAGGAAATAAAGTACAAATTAGATTAGGAGAATATGCCCAAAATCTGCCCAGCCACGTTTTGGCCTCAAGTCTTCTCCAAATCTGGCCCAAGATAGCTTGTTTTAAAGATAAAAATATTCTGAACACTTCTCCAGAAGGCTACGAACCCATCCAAGGTCATCTTGGGCTCCAAAAACGCAATAAAAGTCCAAAACGTCACTATTCCAGCACTGCACATCGCTCCTTCATTTATTCACCAGGAAATCATCACTTGGTGGAAAAGTCTGATATTTTGATACGATCAAGCTAAGTGACTCACGTACATCCTCCAACTGGAATTACTCCAAAATTCGTCCATTTGATTATGTTTTGCTCCAGAGGAAGTCGACAGTCCTATATTGGAAATATAATTCAAAGTATTAAAATTCTTCCAAAATATTAACCAAAATATACTAAGAATAGGGTTAAATATATAATATAAAATCGACTCATCAGGACCCTTAGGGACAATGAATTGGTAATATCATCTAGTTCTAAGGGCTTGAACTTGTTGAGCTCATCAGGACAGGGTTGTTGAGAACATCAGAGAGTGTGCAATACGGTACTCGAGCTTCGACGAAAGGGATGCCCTCGTGGTTGCAATGTATGAACTGGTAGTGCTTGATGCGTCCGGCTACAGGGTAGAAAAGGATTAAGACCTTCAATAATAATTTCTCGAGGTGGTTGGATATTTCAGTGATATTGGGTGTCTTGGTATTATGTTCATAGAAGAGGAGCAAAGGGTTGTAGACTTGGGGAGCTATTTGATCAAAAAGGAGAATTGGTAGTGGTGAAGACGGTCAGGGGTTGGAGAAGATGGTTTGATAATCTACTTGGAGATCACTTCAACTTCAACCTTCATTAATCTTCCCATATCCTAACTAATAAACTCGATAGTGTTAATTAGTAAGAGATAGAGGAGAGTGATGGTGTGGTTCTACATTATCAACTAATATGTACATAGAGAGTGAGAGATAGAGGAGAAGTAAAGCCAAATTCGAATTGTTGATTATGTGTGATATCATATAGAATGTGGTTTACATTGGCTCAACTAATATCATACTAAGAGAATGTCAAAGGGTGAATATTGTTTGATTGTGCATGGTTCTGTGGTGATAAAGGGATGAGAGAATGATGGTTTAGCTTAGACTTGGAAATTTTTGTCATCAATTAATGTAAAGACAAAAGCTTGCACACATGGAAAACGCAGAGAGAAGCTTTGCTAGATCCCTCCTCCTACTTAGAAACTTCGATTATTATATTAAAATTTCGAAGTCTACAAAGCTCTCTACTTTAAAGTGCTGCATTGCAGCTTTCCAACTTATATTAAACGTGGAAACTGGATCAGCAGTGACCTTCTTGCCACTTATATTAAACCCTTCAAAATATAAAATTAGAAAATTAGATAGAAACCCAAAAGTAGTAGGGTTCATTAGGAATAACCCACGTGTTATAATATTTCAATATAAACCCATTGGACCATCTATTGATTGAATATAGAAAACTTACCACAGCGAGTTGATGACTCAACTACTATTTATGGTTCCTATGTCAAAAAATAAATTATGCCTATTTTACCCTGTGCGCCTCTGTATTTTGTCAACCCTTAGTTGTTGTATATGATTTAATTTATAAATAAATCCAATCTTAGACATGTATTTATAAAAAAACTCAAACACTATTTAAATATAGAAACACACCCAAAATCAACAATTGTATATTTTTTGGGTGTGTTTATCAATGGATTTTGAGTGTGTGTAATGATGGGTTTTGGGTGTGTTTATAAAGTGTTTTGGGTGTTGGGTTTTTTATAATTTCAGCTCCCATTTTGGGTGTTTTAGTGAAACTCCCTTTAAGTTATCTATATGACTAAAATCGGGACACTAATTTTTATGTCAAGAATTATTACTTTCTCCTTTTTAATAATTGCCACATTTAAAAAATCATCCCAACGTGAAAATCCTATACAGATGAGATTCCAAGCCTCTGTATTTAGAGGCTATACATTTATCCGCAATTCGTTAAATCTAAACCATTTTAATAATCTAACCCTCAAATACATGACACATCTTCAAGCTTTGAGTTAAGATTTTTTATTTTTTTTCAAAAATACTGATGTTAACTCCGTTTCCCAACCCAGACCTTCCTCCCATGGCAACCACTATGTCCCTTCCTCTTTCTCTCACTTCTCTTCATCTCTCTCTCCATCTCTTAGTTGCAGTCATGGATTTTATTCAATTAGATTTTGGATCGTGAATTGCCAACACCATATTTCACGCTTTTGTAAGTTAATATTGAAGAACCACTTTCTCAATTCTTCCTACTCGGATAGTGGTTGCGAAAGTTTCAGGGTCATAGTTAGTTTTTCTCAAAGCTTGGAAATCAAGTTTTTCTTGTTCATAACTTGGGATGGAAACATTCTAAATCGCTGTGCAATTTTGAGCTTTTGTTTAAATCCATATGTGTTTTTTTTTATAGAATTATTGTAAGGATTATATTTTGGCTCTTCCCTTATGACAAAACCAATACATTTTGCTGAGGTTGATGTATTGGTTTAAATCTGTTTTGAATGCACATGCTAGATTCAAAGGTGTCATCTTTGCAATTCAAACTTAAATTCATTGCATACATTCACATGGGTTAATCCACACAATTGATACAAGCCTTAAAATTCGTTTTATGTATCATTCCTAGTTTGTTTTAATCTATATTTCACTTTTGCATTGTATACACATGGATTGATATACAGGGATTGATACAATCTTTAAAAAAAGTGTTCTGCTTTATTCTGTATCAATCCTTCGTATTATGTTTCAATCCACTTTGAGCTGTATCAATTAATATTTCATTAAAATATCTTCAGCTCTTGATTTCATTCGCGTCAATTAAACTTTTTGGAACTAGTTTTCAAAAACAAAAGTCTTGGATGAAGTTAATGCAACATATTATTATATAATATTTGTTTTCTTGAAACTAGTTTTTTGAAGGGAAGTATTTATGTTATTTTTCCACATGATCTTTCTGACAAAATATGTGCTCTCTATTTCAACGGTTGTTACAGCCTGTGTTCCTCTTTATTCTTCTTGAGCCATTCACTCTAAAGATAAATATCTCTATGGTTGTGTTAAATATTTGTAGTCAAACCTTGCGTCTCCTTCATTTGTTCCAGCTCACAAAGCACATGACATTTTACTGTTATTTATCCTTATCTCTTGCCTTGTGTGCTTTGTCTGAACAACTTGTCTCAAGAAGATTTTTAAAATCATTTTATTTCTTTTATTCTTCTTGAAATCGCCCACCTTGAGATCACTTTTGGTTATTCTCTTTGAATCATGTCTTCATCAAATAGTCTATATATTCTATCTCGATTGGCTAGAGTTGCAGAGAACTTGATTTTGAAACAGTACTGCATCTCATTTCTTATCCTTTGCAGAACAGTTTCTAAGTTCCTCAAGATCCATTCATGCTAGTCATATAAGAATAGAATATCTGCATCTTAGATGCAGACCCGATTCTAGTTTTTGAAATCATTTTATATATGCTCTTGAGCATTCAAAACTATTTTATTGTTTCAGCCATTTGTTAATTACTTGAGAGTATGAGTATGATTGCATACACATAAAATTCCACCAAGTATATTCACATTGATTTTGGCTGAGTCTCTTGTTTCATTGTTGTTATGTTGATTTAAACTATATGCTTCAAGTTAATTACTTCTAGTTTAATCATCACAACACTTGGTTTCATTCGTCTAGCTTAATCATTCTTTGTGATTAAGAAAGATGAAAATTTGAAACCATAGCTCACTTCATATCATTATACTTTCTGCAACTTGGAGCTTGGTGCTATTGTAAACCATGACGATTTGTCTGTTGCAATTGGAGCTGAATTCTCATGCAAACACTGGAAGAGAACTTGCTGCTGAGAAGTAAAGATTGTGCTTTTCTGGATGGTTAGATAGTTAACTGGCTATTGTGAGTAGATAAGCTAATATTGTGCTTTGCTAGAAGGTTAGATAGTTAGCTTCCTACTCAGTATAGATGGAGCTCAACTCCCTTTATATCTTGTACTTCTCATTGATAGTGGATTCTCTTACTGGCTTGGTCCCCCAGTTTTTCCCCTTGTTAGGTTTCCAGGTTAATAAATATTTGTGTATGTTTATATTCATGTTGTCATTAGTTGTACTTACTGCATCTTGTTCAAATGACATCAATACACTAACGTGGATCAATACGGCGTTTCACTGTATTGATTCAAAATCACAAAAGTCTCTGTATGTATCAATACATGGTGTTGTCTATATCAATCCAGTTTCATGCAGTTAATTCCATTTACTCACAGTAGATGCTAAGTAATTAAACACCATGTGTTGACGCTCGGCACGCACCGAACCCATCTACCTGAATAAAAAGACAACATGTAGGCCTCGTGCACCGCGCCAAAAGAAACGAGCTAAATTGCCCTAGGACTCAGACTCCTTAGTAAATTCAAGAGGATACATATCAGCCACATCGATGACAAGACCTCTTCTGACTGCCGACCCGTAGTACCCCCACGTCCATTTGAAAGCTAGGTGTAAACTGCCTGAATCGCCACATCACCAGATGGGACTACCACAACGCGCAACAGGCTACTATGCCCATGCCCGCCCCCTAATGGAGGTACAAAAAGGTCATCATGAGCAGAGGACGTGGACGAACCCCTACCAACCATCATCTGACATCTGATGTGACACAAACAGCTCGGCTCTGAGCCGAGATGACTGGCTTGTGAATTAATTCATTTGTTCAAACCCCCCCCCCCAAGTAGAGGTTTTTTTGTAAAAGGACTGATTAAGATCTCCCTAAGAGGAATGGAATAAGAAGAAATGTCTTGTCATTTTTGCTATATATTATTTTCCTCCCTAAAGCTCTTTTCCCTTTGGAACCACTTTAGAATAACTGTATTCCTTCGTGTTAACCACTTGAATATCTGTGGTTTAAACACCATGGTTGTGCATGTGTTTATGTCTCCGCTTATTAATTCTTAGCTGGGCTTAAAATTTGAAAGGTAGGTTATTACCATATAGTCTACTTCACCCTTTTAGATCCTAGGGCCTGTTTTACAATTATTAATGAAAATATTTGAAATATTTTTCTTTGGAACCATATACAGAAAGAGAGGTATAGATGGTGGAGGACATGGGCGGTTTACCACTAGCAAAAAGCATTACAGCGTCTATGTTAATGTTTAACGTCAGTTATTAAAAAAAAATTAACTCAAAGCTTGATGATGTCATGTATTTGAGGGTTATGCGGGTAAATGCATGGTCTCTAAATATAGAGGCTCAGGATCCATAGAGATGTTATTGATCATAATATTCATGGTTGTTCATGGTGGTAAAGAATTTCTTGGGTCATTTGTGTATCTCTAAGTATTAGACTTTGATGCGGTGTGAGACTTAAACTAGGCATTCATGTGTTTAAAGGTGGGTCTTGTTATTAAAAATGTGTTCTTCCTTTTTCGTAAAACCCAAATTCAAAACCTTTAAATATAAATAATACAAAATTAGTGAAACGCCCATTCCTAGACATGAAACTATAAATATACCCTACACTATTTAAAACATAGAAACACACCCAATATAAACCCAAAAATCAACAATTGTATATTTTTTAATTTAATTAATAAGATGAAATACCTTTATTACCCTTTTAACATAAAATTGGAATTCTAATCAACAACATATCAGAACCCATTTCACAACCTCCAGTCTCTCATCTTCATCTTCAACCCCAATTTTCAGTTTTTGTTCAACCTCATCATTCTAAGCTTTGTCGGAAGGCTCGCCTGGGCTACCAACAATGATGCGCTGGAGAGGGCCTTTTCTCCGTTCAGTGAGATCATCAAATCGAAGAGTCGTTTGATGCATGTTCTCTCTCTGCTTCTTGATCTTTTGTTTCTCTATGTTACTTGATCTTTCTCTCCCAAAGATTGAAGATTGATCGATTCCTTTCCATTTTTGTTTATTATTGTGTATTTGTTTGATTATACTCCAGCGTTTTTGTTTTGATGGACAGATCTGATTTGATTTGGTTTCTTTTTGTGTTTCCACACCGAACAAGCCATCGAATATGGCACCAAAATGGTATCACTAACAAACATGCCTCTTTCTCTCTTCTTCTCGTCTCTTTTATTTGCTTTATTGAGTTTTTGTGTTCTTCTTCTTTCTTCTATTTTTGTTTTTCCTAACCCAAGCTCCGAAATCAATTATGGAATTAAGAAAATTAGGCTTTATTCTAGTGCCAATGAGATTATTTTGCTGTATTACAGTTTTGGGATTTTCACTGATACTGGTACTGCATTATTTGTGCTTAGATTCATTTTCTCATTTGCTTAAACATCTATGTCTCTTACTATCAAAAGGGGAGTTTGAATTGGTGAAAATAATTGGGAAATGAGTTCTTGTTGACATGTGAAACTGAGAATATGGGTTTCTTATGCTAATGCATTAAAATTAAATGGACTCCTAGATTAGAATAGTCACGACTTTTCACAATTAATTGACTAAGTTTGAAGGTTTGAATTTCCCACGATAAGTTTTCCTCTGAAATGCTACATAACGTTATAAATTATAATCACCTTCTTTGTTTCAAACTGTTATGTATTTTTCCTTCCTTTCTTTCATTTCTTTATACTATTGTGCTGAAATAGGTGGGTGGTGTAACACCAAAGAAGGGTGGGACCGAGCATTTGGGACTCCCTGTTTTCAACTCAGTTGCAGAAGCAAAAACTGAAACAAAGGCTAATGCCTCAGTCATTTATGTTCCCCCACCATTTGCTGCTGCTGCAATTATGGAGGCAATGGAAGCAGAGCTGGATCTTGTTGTGTGCATCACTGAGGGGATCCCGTAACATGATATGGTAGTATATTTTTATCATTTTAAATACAAAAGTTAAGTTTACATGTTCATACATGACAATTTGGATCTTGGAATAACATTTTGTTTTGTCGATATAATTCAATTTGTATGACAATCCTATTAGCTGATATGTCAGTTATCAAATGTTTTGGGACTTCCAAATGCTTGGTTATTGAGTTTTGTCCTTCCTAGACTATCATATGATTTGGAATGTGAACTTTATTGAACTTGGTCATAGCTCTGATTGTTAATTTCAGTTGACTGCAATCCCAGTTGTTAAGCTTGAGTTTAGTGTTCGGTGATTCATGTGAAATTGTCCTTGAACCTAATAATTATGAATTTCAGGTACGTGTGAAGGCTGGTCTTAACAGGCAATCTAAAACTTGGCTCATTGGACCAAACTGCCCTAGAATTATCAAGCCTGGTGAATGCAAAATCGGAATTATGCCTGGTTACAACACTATGATATAGTATTAACAGTGTACTTCTATGACATAGTATTAATAATGTATTTTTTTTTAATTTTTGTAGAGGTATTTCCTTTTGCCTTTGCGATTGTATGTGGTGAAACTATGAACAATTGGAGGTGGTTTTTGCAAAATATATCGAATGTCTTGCTGGGCTGTTTTAGTTTTATTTAAATTTTTTTGTAGGAAATGATATTAACAATGTACTTCTATAAAATGGTATTAACAGTGTACTTTTATAACATGGTATTAACAGTACACTTCTATAACATGGTATTAACAGTGTATTTTTATAACATGGTATTAACAATGTACTTCTATGAAATGGTATTAACAATGTACTTCTATCACATATTATTAACAATGTACGGAGGTTCAGTGGAGAATGGTCATAAAGACAGCTCCTTGATTTTCACGACTTTTTTTTAGTTTGGGTTTTTTAAAAAAATTTGGGTTGGGCTTGTTTTGGGTTCTTTTTGAGTTTTTTGTGTTGGGATTGTTTTAAGTTAATCAATGGTAAATATGTAATTTATAGAAACTTCAACACTTATTTCTTATTTAGTAAATAGGTTTTGGGTGTGTTTCTAAAGTGCATGTGGGGTTTTTTTTTATAATTTCAGCCCCTATTTTAGGTATATTACTAAAGCTCCCTATAAATAATATACTAGCTCCTTGGCACATGCGTGAGCACGTGCCAATTGGTTTTATTTTTTATTTTTTATTTTATTTTTAAATTAAAGAATGATAACATGAGTAGTTATGTTTCATAAAAGTGGGATCTATTATCTGATTTTGTTTTTAATTTTAATTTTTTAATATGAAAAAATGTGAATTTACCATATTATCCTCATTTAATTAATAATTTCAATTCTTAATGTTTGAATTAAGTAAGGGAATTTTTTGGTATTTTGAATGTTTCACCATTCTCTGCCTTTTGCTTTATATATATAGATAAAACAAAGCTTTAACACTAAAGTAAAAAAATAAAGAAACAAATAATTGGCAAATAAAGTAAAATAAGTTAAGAGTAATGAAAGCAAGCCTGGTATGGTGAATCACGTCAAAGATGCTGTTATAAAGCCTTTATAGCCTCCATACATGCATGTACTAATGGTCTACAAGACTCCAAGATAGGACCCCCAATACACAAGCTCAAGGTCTGATGTGAGCAAGTTCATGGTCGGATAAAAGTCTCCAAGTCACAAAATCGTTTTCCAAAAATAATAATATCGAAAGTAGAGAAAGTATGAAAGTGATCTCCCACATGAATGAAAATGGATAGAAATTGAGAGTACTTGCTAAAAAGAGATGCGTCTAAAAATGTGTCTTTTAGACTTGAACCTATCATAGTGAATACCTATGGGATTTACTTGGTGACGCAGTGGATATAATGAACTTGAACCGTTCACCGCAATAGTAAACCTAGACAATAGGAATCACATATCTCCAATCCTAATATATTAGGGTTCATGCAATTGTGTTCATTTTGGTCCTGAACAAATCCTGGATTCATGAGAGCTTTAGAGAACTTAGCCATCTCATTCTCATATAAGCAACCCCACTTCTACTCTCACATAGGTGACACACTGATTAAGATCAGTCTACTCTATTCCTATTATTTATATAAGATATCAGTATCGTTAAACAAAAGTACCATTTATACGTATGTAGACAATAGGAATAAGGTATAGTGTGTTAACTTCTTTGAATCATGCCCAAGCAGTTTGCCTTTTGAACCTAGACCATGGGATCTCCAATCAACTCAGTTAGGTTTCCACCTGTTTGATTCATTTGTGACACCTCGACCCAAATTCTAATTATTTATTCAATCCATTTAAATAATTTAATTTATTTAATTATGGAATTACAATCGTACCATCAGGAATAGGATTATTTTGGTCACTCACGGTATGATTTTGGGGAAATAAATTACACTGTTATGTAGAGGGCGTCAATACGAGTTCGTAGACACGTAGTGGGCTTAAATCAAAGTTGTAACGAAGAATTAAGATCAACGGAAGTGTAGTGGCATAACCGTAAATATTCGAACTTGGATTTTTTAAAAAACTCAAATTCCTCTCTCTCTCTCTCTCTCTCTCTCTCTCTCCTGGTGACAAACACCTCTAGCCAGCCATATTTTGGCCTATAGTCTTCCTCCAGCCACCAGAAGCAACAAGGCTGGTACAAGAACAACAACCCCAGCCTCCCTCTCTCCATCCCACCCCATCCCTGCGGCAGCCAGCCACTACTATAGGCGAAAAACGCAGAAAAATGGCTGGTTTTCACCCAAACTTTTTGATGTCGTTTCTGAAGATTCAGGCTACCAAATTTGTCGATCCATATATGCTTTCTCATCCTTTCAACGTGATCTAATTGATGGTTGGATTGGTTAGGATCAATTTTGAAGTTATGAAACTCATTTTTTGAATCAAAGATTTGGCTGGTTTTCAGCTCAAGTTTTCGGCAAGCTTCGGCCACTTTTTGACCATAGCCCAAAAATAAAAGTTGCTCCACTCGTTGTCTTGATAACGTAGGTATGGGTATTGTTAGGTGTTTCAAGAATTTTTTGGTCGCCGAAATTTTCTCAATACACCCACGCGCTGCCCATTTGATTCTAAAATGTTCCCTATGTCGTCCCGAGCACGACGGTATGCTCGGATTTGAATTTGGTTACCGTTTGACGGTCGATCGGATTTATGCATATTAGGCTTTATCTGGATTTGATATGTGTGGACCATTGGATCGACTCCATTTCCAAATATATTGATCTGGGTACCTCTAGGATCGTGTAGGAATTCGCAGATCGAGAATCGGACTCCCGAATGCTCCGATTCAATTACTCAAAATTTGCGTAAAATGGTGACCGTCCCACCATGCGATTGAGAGCGATCCGACTGCTCAATATGGATCAAACTTACAGGACATATTTAGTAATCTTGGTCAAACCCATAGGAGATTTCGGATAGGAAATCGGAGGTCATGGGCCCTGTGGGCTTGGTTGACCAAAATTGGGAAGTTTGGCCACTCGGTTGCCCGAGTGTCTCCCAAGGTTATTCCACCATTCAAAACACGTACTTGGACCTTAGAAACTTCCCATTTGTCGTTCACACACTTTGAATCTCGGAAAAACTAGGAATTTATTTTAAAGTTCTAGTTTGACATATTTTATTTTAAGGCTTTTTATCGCAATTGGTCCCTTAGGTTTGCGAAATTATCACCTTTCGTCCCTAACTTTTTTTGTGACACCAGTGGTCCTTAAGGTTACTCTTTACACATCAAAATGGTCCCTGCTGTTAGCTTCCATCAAATTTTTTGTTAAATGGTTGACGTGGCATGTGTGGAGCCCACACATCCAATAATATACATCCACGTGGCTTTAAATAAAATATATTTTATATTTTAAATTTTAAAAAAAAAATACTTAAATCCCCCCCCCCACCAAAAAAAAAAAAAAAAAAAAAAAAAAAAAAAAAAACAAACATCATGCGTTCTCCCTCTGCCAGCGCCTCCTACCCTTGCAAACCCTGTACCATTGATGTAGTTTTTCCTATGCCCCCACGGATTGGTTGAGGCTGCAATACTACCAAAGACTATATGGGATATATCTGTTTTGGCCACTTCGGGTTTTTTTTGGGGTTGGGGCTATACTTGACTAGGGAATTGGAGCCTCTTGGGGTTTTTTTGGTTCTGCTTCTGATTGGACATGGGCAGTAAAAGCCATAGCCTTTTGGCTTTGTACAATTAAAAAAAGAGAGAAACAGAACACATGGAGAGGGATAGAGAGAAACATAAGGGAGGAAGAGAAGGGACAGAGGCAAAAAGTGGGTCTGTTGAGAGGAGGATGGCGCTAGTAGAGGGAGGGCATGGTGCAAGCCTTTTTGTTTTTTTTTTAATGGATTTAAGTTTTAAAATATTTTAAATTTATTTTATTTTATTTAAAGCCACGTGGCTATATATTATTAGATGTGTGGGCTCCACACACGTGCCACTTCAGCAGTTTAACAGAAAATTTGATGGAAGCTAATAGCAGGGACCATTTTGATGTGTAGAGGGTAACCTTAAGGACCATTAGTGTCACAAAAAAAGTTAGGGACAAAATATGATAATTTCGCAAACCTCAGGGACCATTTGTGATAAAAAGCCTTATTTTAATCTAGCCCTCGTATTTTGAAATAGGTACTTAAGCTCCTCATACTCAACAAGCAGGATCCTATCAAGGTCATGCATCGTCCGACTTCTTATGAGTGGACTTTGTTTTGAAATGCATTATTTTTATCAAATAAATTACCATGCATTAAAAATGGATTATTCTGACTATGGTATATATATATATATATATATATATACAGTCCCCTTCAGTTGAGGGATCCCTCAAATAGTGTTATTTGAGGGATGGGGCGCTCAGCCGTTGGATGTCTTTTAATGAGATTGTGCGGCTGTGATTGTTTTAAAAGTTGTAACCCGTTTTCACTCAAATGACCCGCAAAAGACCGAAGTCAAGCACGCACGCAGAAAGGGAAACAAAGGAAGAGGAAGAGCCAGCCCTTGCAAGTTGAAGGGCAGATCCACCATCGCCAGCTGAAGAGCGGACCCGACAATCAGGTATGTGTATCTCTGTCGATGGTTATTTTTTTTCTCTCTTTTCTCCATCTGGGTTGTGGTTTTAGGGTTTACAGTCCCCTTCAGTTGAGGGATCCCTCAAATAATGTTATTTGAGGGATGGGGCGCTCAGCCGTTGGATGTCTTTTAATGAGATTGTGCGACTGTGATTGTTTTAAAAGTTGTAACCCATTTTCACTCAAATGACCCGCAAAAGACCGAAGTTAAGCACGCACGTAAAAGGGTAAACGAAGGAAGAGGAAGAGCCAGCCCTTGCAAGCTGAAGGGCAGATCCACCATCGCCAGCTGAAGAGCGGACTCGACAATCAGGTATGGGTATCGCTGTTGATGGTTATTTTTTTCTCTCTTTTTTCCATCTGGGTTGTGGTTTTAGATTTGGGGTTCTGTGATAGTTTTTTTATCTGGGTTTTAAAATTTCTGTTCAACGTTGAGATTACACCTGATTTCTCGTGGGTTTCTTGACTTTGAGTATATGTGTTATATGAGCCG